TATTTGACAGAGAGCAGAAGTAGGCAGAGGGAGAGGGAGAAGCAAGCTCCCCGCTGAGCAAGGAGCCTCTCGCGGGGCTCGATCCCAGGACCCCAGGATCATGACCCAAGCCGAAGGCAGCTGCTTAACCAACTGAGCCACCCAGGTGCCCCAACAGAAGAAGAATACTGAAAAAGAGTATTAGAGAATCAAATTTGAGGCAGTGTCTATACGAATCTCCTACTGCACCATAACACATTGCCACAAACTTGGTGACTCAAACAACACAAATTTCGTATCTTACCGTCCCAGAGGTCACAAATCGGAAATGGCTAAAATCCAGGTGTCCACAGAGCTGTGTTCCTCCTGGGGCTCTAGGAAAGAAGCTGCTCCTTGGCTTTTCCAGCCACTAAAGGCTGTGGCGTCTCTTGGCTCGTGGCCACATCGTTCCTACCCTGCCTCCTGCCATCATCTTCTCTGACTCTCACCCCCCGGCCTCTCTCTTATAAGGACCCGGTGATTACACTGGGCCCATGGGATAATCCAGGGGAACCTCCCCTTCTCTCCCCTTCTGCAAATCACATCTGCGAAGTCCTTTTTTGCTGTGTTAAGGTGACAAATTCACAGCTTCTGGTGATGAGGATGTGGAAATCTTTGGGGAGCCATCGTTCTGCCTACTGCACAGTCTAAGAGAGAAATGAGTGGACTGGTGTGCTCTGGGCCTTGACTACAGTCCCTTTCCTTTGCAGTTTTCAGAGGACTTACAGACAGTGTACTTTTGTTCTTCTCCCTGCACTGATCCTGGGAAGTGGATGAAGGAGGGCAGCATGGAGCCCATTCTGAAAGGGAAGCCGAGGAGGGGAGGCCCAGTGCCTGAGTCACACAGCCAGAGAGAGACTCGGGCCCAGAGCCTTTCATCAGCATCTTCTCTCCCGGGTCCAGGCCATGCGCCACTAGAACAGTGTTCTCACTGGTGGTCCGGGGCAACTCCTCAGGTAACCCACAATCTAGTAGAGGAAGCCCTCAAGGTGAGCCAGCTCCCTCAGCCCTGATTCTCCCCTCAGCAGGTGGCCTTCTCCCAACCAGGACAAGGAGGGAGGGAGCGAGAGAGGGAAGGAGCAGGCAGAGAACCTCCAACCTCAGCACGGAGCCCCAGACCTCGATGTCCGTTCACCTCGGGCATGTCCTTGACAGCAGTCCAGGCAGATGGTCCCAGCGATTTCCACACCAGAGGCAAGCTCTGGTTCTTAGAAAAGTCTTACAGCAAACTTCCCGGGAATGTCACTGTGGTTTATGGCTTTGCCTTTGAGTGCTGCTGGACAGGGGGCCAGGCTCTCTCCCTGCCCCACAGATGTTGGAAGGCAGCTACCGGGAACCTACTGATGCTTCTCCAGGCTTCCCTCCAGCCCCACCCACTGTCGAGGGCTTACATGTGCCAGACACCATCCAGGAACGGGGATACAGCTGCGAGTCTGACTGGCAAAGTGCCGGCTCCCCTGGCCCTCCCGCCTTGTTGGGGGCAGACCAACAGACTGTACAGAAGAATGGGGTAAGGATTCTGAGGATAGCGAAACAGGATGAGACGACAGAGGGAGACAGCAACTCGGGGGCCAGGGCTGTCCCCACTCCAAAGAGGAGAGAGATGGTTTAGGAAGGGCCACTTTGAGATGCAAATCCGAGGTTTACCCCAGAGCTCCTTGCTCCTCACCCCTACTCTGTGCAGCCTCCTAAAAGTCTCCCCTTGTGTCCTTCTCCAGGGAGACTAAGGGCACTTTGAGCCTGGGAGTGGTGTCCGGAGTCTGTGCATCATCCCTGAGGCTGCAGTCAGTCCCTCCTGGGGACAGAGTCAGGCTGTGGCCTGACTTCAGGGCCCCGAAGGAGCTAAGATGGCAGCTGAGTGCTAGCTGAGCCACCTGGGGGGAGAGAGCCGGAGGTGAGGGTGGGTAGCAAGATGTGAGGGGCTGGAGAACAGGCTGCCCCCCGCCCCCTTGGGCCTTGGGAGGGTGGCTGTCCCTGAGAGGGGACGGTGCAGCCTGTGGAGGAAACCGTTTCTATTTCGGGAGGCTGTTTAGCCTCTGCAAAGAGTGGCTGATGACATGCCCGGCACCTGGCTGGGTGGAAATAAACTGAGACATAAGGCAGTAATTGAAGTTGTGCCCTCTGTCAACCCAGCCACCGCCTCCTCCCTGGGCTCCAGAAGGTTGCTGGGGGCTGGGGGCGGGAGGGTGGGGGGGCGGGGGGGATGCTCCAACTAAATGATGCTGGTCCCTGCCCCGCCCTCCACCCCCAGAGCTTTCTCCTATTGGGTCCTCAGCTCCTGCCGTGTCCCCGCAAGGAGAGCCTGCCGCCTGACCTGCCTGTTGCCTTCTTACCTTCAGCAGCCCACCTCAAATGAAACCTCCTCCAGGAAGGCTCCCCTGATACGCATGCTGCTGTTCCCAGGTTGTGATTAATCACTACCCCCTGAGCACATACATTAGAGTTGGAAATCCACTTTGAGATGACTCAGCTCTGTGTCTAAGGCGAACTGACCTCAGCCCACCCCAGAGACACATGAGTGAAGTCCAGGGAGTCCCTGGAATTGAATGCAAAATCATGCGCAAAATCAAATGCACAGATGGTGGATAAACAGAATGTGGTAGAGCACACTGGGGAATATTATTCGGCTTAGAAAGGACTGGAGCACTGACGCGTGCTACGACATGGATGAGCCCAGAAAACATTATGCTGAGTGAAAGCAGGCCGACACAAGAGGCCCAATAGTGTGTGAATAGGCAAATCAATAAAGTCAGGAAGGAGATCAGAGGTTGCCTGGGGCTCAGGAGAGAGGGGAATGGGGAGTAATTGCTTGGTGGGTACAAGGTTTCTTTTTGGGATGCTGAAAAAGTTCTAGAACCAGATATTGGTGATGGTTGCACAACCTTGTGGGTGCACTAAATGCCTCTGAATTGCTTTTATTAAAATAGTCAAGGTTACATGTATTTTACCATAATAATTTTTTAAAAATCCAAATGCACATATTAGGGGAGAAACTTCTAGTTTTGCTTAGATTTTCCAAAGGTTAAGCAGCTCTGATCTGGTCTGACACCTTCATGAAGCAGATGGTGAAACTGAAGCAGAGAGGGGACGGGACCTATCCAAGGCCACTCAGGCGACAGCAGCAGAGCCCCAGCCAGGTTCTGTACCCGCCTAACCAAGCACCTCTCCCACCCCCTTCTTCCATCGTCCTTTAGCCTCTGCGGAACCCTCCCTGAATAGCCCCCAGGCCTCTATTCTCCTCCTTGCCAGGCTACCCACAAGCTGTGCAAGCTCCCGAACTTAAAAGGCCTTCCAGAAGCTGGGCTCTTGGAATGAGTTTCATGAGCATTTGTCTTTAGCTCTAGAGTGGACTCTGAGCACCCAGAGAGATGTTTCTTATTTTCCTCCATATGTCACAGAGCTCCAGGTTTCTTTCTTCAAGAAAGAACTCACTGTTCACCTGCAAGGAGTGCAGTTAGCAGACAGCCTCTGAGGAACATTCTTTGCCCCAGAGGCCCACCACTTTGTTGGATATGCAAAACAGTCTGAGGCTCTCCTGCCCAGGCTCTCTCCTGCTCCTCCTCCCCCTTCATCTTTCATAGGCCCTACCACACCCCCGCTCCTCCAGGCAATAAACATCTTGCACTCCTACCCTCATCTCAGTGTCTGCTTCCTGGTCAGCCCAGATGACACAGTGATCAGCTTGGTGTATCATAAGTGCTCCATAAATGTTCATGGAGGAACTGAATTGATGACTCCCTGGGAGGGCTGGGGTGGTGGTGGAAGGAAGCCGGTGCTTGGGCCTCTGAGAGCAAAAGAGAGGCTGCCCATGGAGGATGTCTCAGTCACAAGAGGAGTGACCATGTAGGGGGGCATGAAGAGACTGTGCCCCCTAGGAGAGGCCCAGTAATGAGGAAAACACAGGGAGCCCGGAGACTAACCAAGCATCCTCCCTACTTCCTCCCCTGTCTAGGGTAGACTGCAGCAAAGCTCGGACCTGGCCCAGAGGACAGGGCGAAGAGTCCTGGCCTTGGATTTGGGAGAACCAGGTTCAAATTGTCCTTCTTGCTAAGTCAGGTGATTTTATATCCCCTTCTTCTGTAGACCTCAGTTTTTTCATCTGTAAAATGGGTATAGAGTGCATCTCCCCAACCCTAGCATCATTTTGAGAACTGACTGGGAAGATTCTACAGCTTCCGGAGGGCCCTGTAGGGAGTAGTTTAAATGCATACTCTCAGTTAATCCTTACAGTGGCCTGTGTGAGAGGCATTATGACCTTCATTTTATAAGTGAGAAAAGTGTGGCTCAGAGAGGTCAAGGGGCTGGTCCAAGAACACACAGCTAGCAAGTAGGAAGTCTGGCTCTAAACCCCCTTTATTACTCCACACAGTTTGAGTGACTACTATGTGCCAAACTTGGGTTAGGGTGGGGACAAGTGACAGGTCTGCCATGTTCTTATGGAGTTTACATTCTCACAACGAACTCGACAACGGGCAGCCCCCTCAACAAACAGGGTAACTCGAGAATGCATTAGGGCTCTAGGAAAAAAATAAACTGGGTGCAATTATCAAGTTGAGACCACAGAGGAGCTACTTTAAATTCAGGGGTCAAGGGCAGCATCTCCAAGGGCTGAAACCAGCAGTATGAGAAGGGCCCAAGCCGGGTAAAAGCCTGATGTATTTGGGAAGTGACGGAAGGCCTGTGGCGAGCGCGGGCGGTGGGGGAGGACACAGGTGGCCGGAGGGGACAGGCAGGGGCCACCAGGTCACTGAAACCCACGGGAAGCCACGCAGGGGGTTTCGGCATGGCGTGAAAGGAACCATCGGGCCACGGCTGTCTGAAGGCGCAGACCGAAGGCCAGAGCCGGGGCCGCCCGGACCCGGTCCTCCCGCCCACCTCTCCCGAGCTGGGGGGCCTCGCCCCGCCCCCGCTGGCCGCTGACGTCACGGCGCTCGCCGCCGCCCCTGTGACGTCACGCCCCGGCCGAGCGCTGTGCTCGGGATCCGCGCGCCCGAGGAGCGGCTCGCGGCGGGCGCGTGGGCGTGGCCGGATGAAAAAGATGGCTGCCAAGCAGTCTCCGCCCAAGTTAATCGGTGGGTGCGCGCCCCCGCGCGGGACGCTGGTTGCTATGGACGCGTTGGCGGCCGCTGGCGGGAGGGCACGCGCGCGGGGTCTGCGGGGTGCCGCACAGCCTCTTTATCCCGGGTCCCCGCGGCGCAGGGCCACGCTCACAGCCCGGGCGACACCATGAAGTCTCTAAAGAAGGACTCCCGCCTCAGAATACCTGCAAACAAATTCTTGGAGGCCGCAGAAGTCATTAAAGGTTGGCGCTGGCTCCTTGGGAACTCAGGAGAAGCCGACAGGGGCTGGGGTTCTTGGATGGGACTCACGACACGGGGCCTGGAGGACGGGGGTGACACCAGGATGGAGGTAAAGATCGCGGGGGAATGGGGTATGAACAAGGCGTACCCCATACCTCAGGGATGATGTACAAGGCAGCGACCCCCGAAAGGGAGAGGGTCCAGTGCACTGGGCCTTGGGGATGGGGACATAGGAAGACTGACAGAGGCCTCAGGGATCAACTGCTGGGGAGATGGCCTTGGGCAGGAAGGCAAAGGAGACTTCTACCTCTAACCATAGCGTAGGGTGGGACTCTGAAGGCAAGCGCCCTCCACTGGGTGGGTTGCAGAAGGGTCGGGAAAGAGTTTCAGAAGGGTCAGGACCGGAGCCCTTGGGAAAAGAAATTCAGGAAAGAATGCAAGAAACATGTTGAGGCGGTGGAACCAACACCTCGGGGGGATTCTGTGAGGGTGTCCACCTAAGAGGCCTGCTGGAAAACCCCAGGCGTAAGGCCTAACTTGGCCAGTTCTGTTTCCCACCACGTATATCCTTTCCAGATGGATGACACCTGTCCCACTTGTTTAACCTGGAGCCCGTTGCAGACATGACTACTTCCTGGCCACCTCAGCTACCCTCTGGTTGCAGGTGGCAGAGTCCCAGGGTGTCTGACTGCAGACTGACCCCCATGGACGTGTTCCCATTTGCAGCTCACCCCCTGTCTCCATTTTTTGCTGTTTCCATTTGTTGAGGGCCTGCTGTGTGTGGGCACCGTGCTGGGCAGCAACGGTGTCAGTATTCACTGTGTCGCCCCAGCCCACAAGAAACAGAGTCTAGTGAACTACCAGAAGGGGAACCAGACAAATACCGATGCTGTGATACAGGGGTCCCTAAGTGGTTAAGGGGGCTCAGAGCACCTGACCCAGGCCTTAGATGCTAGAATCTGGGGGGAAGGTTTTCTGAAGCAGGTGACATCTGTGGTTGGCCTTCTTCCTCCCCTCCCTCTCCACCCCACCCCCACCCCCCAAAAGGCAGTTTACTTCTCCAGGTCTAGGGAGCAGGGAGCGGCATGAGCTGAAGCATGGAACTAGGACATTGGTGGCCAGGGCAGAGGTGGTGGGTGTGGAGGAGAGGGAGGGAGCCAGGTAGGGCTGCACAGGTAGGCAGGGGCCAGACCAAGCAAGGACTTTACTTGCTAGGTCAGAAAGTCTGGGCATGCTCTTGCAGGCCCTGGGGAGACCCAAAGCCAGCCTCAGAGCAGTGGTGAAAGCTCAGTGTGAGGAGGGGGACAGGTCTGCTGGGGTCCCTGGGAGGCCTGCTTAGTTAGTATGGCTGGCTTTAATCCCTCTTCATAGTATGAAAGTCCTCTTTAGGCTGGGTTGAGAGACTGTTTCATGATATAATTTTTTTAAGATTTATTTTTATTTGAGAGAGAGAGAGACTGAGCATGAGCCGGTGGGGGGAGGGGCTGAGGAAGAGGGAGAAGCAGACTCCCTGCTGAGCAGGGAGCCCACCGAGGACATGGGGCTCGATGCCAGGATCCACCCAGGCACCCCTCATGATATAATTCTTAACAGTCGAGAGAGAGAAAAATAGCTGGGCCCTTTTCCCAAGGGCAGTCAAGGGCTTTCCTAGCTATTGCCTCCTGCACACCTAGTTTCTGGATCTTATCAAATTTGAACTTTCTGCTATAAACAACTCAAGGAAAGATTTATCACTACATATTTATTTTTAAGAAAGGGAAATGTAGTTTGCTAAATAGCCATTTGAGTTGAGAACACGCACTAGGGTGAGGAGGGAAAAAAAAACAGTGTTTAGCAGGCAAGATGCCTTCCCCCCCCTTTTCTTCCCACTGATATCTCAGGGGATGTCGGTAATGTAGTAGCACAATACTTTTATCCCCCCACCCCATAATACAGCTAATCAACAAATATAATCTCATGCTATGTTTTTCCAGGGTCTCTGAATTACAAGCAAAAAGGCAAGCAAATATTGTGACTCTAAATCTGTTTAGGGACGTGAGCCCTTTTTGACTTCCAGGTTTCTCCCTGATTTTGTTAAGAAACCGGGAAGACTCCCAGCAGTCCCAGATGCCCCTCCCTGATAAGTAAAGCTCAGCCCTGGTAGGGACAGCCTCTCCCTTGGTTCCGCCATGCAATCCTGAAGTCAGAATTTCCCAAAGACCTTGATCAACACTGAAAAAAGATAACGTTAGATAACACAAGAAACAGAAAACTCGAGGCCAGGTTTCTTCTCCCTCCAAGGCTTCCCCCTCTTCCCCCACCCCTACCCCATCTGAGCACCTTGCTTCCAGCTACCTGGCCTAGCTCCAGCTGAAATATCACCCCACTGCCCCGTGCAAGGGGGCTGGTCTCTGACCCCCTCACAACTGCCAGGATCAAGGGAGAAATGCCAGCTATGGGGCTTACCAGAAGCCCCACTCAACTTGGGTTTCCAGACCAAACAACAGGAAATAGCTGAGCCTCCATAGGTTTAGAGTAGTGAGACATATCTCGGACCCTGCTGAGTTCTCCCACAGGTCCTCAAATGACCCCCCCCCCCTCCACAATAGTCCTTCCTCCCTGCTCTTCCCAACAAGCGTCTCCATACCACCACCCTCCCCCGCCCAGCCCCCAGTCCACCTGGCTTACCCTCATTGGATGAATCACTCTGAAATGCTGCTTTTACCAATGCACTCTCCTGGACCAAACTTCCTTCCTGCCAGCAAGAAGACAGATGCTTCAGCCTTACTTTACCAAGCTGTCATGCCCTGATTTTTCTATCATCCCCAATAGCACCCCCACCTCCCCAACAAGCCTCCTGTGTCACTATGCCCACATATGCCATGCTCTGCCCTGCCTCCACCTTTGCTCTGTGACCTCACCTGAAACACCTCTGTTTGCTGCTCTGCCTGTTCGAAGGCTTCCGGTCCTTCAGGGCCTCACTCAGCCTCTGACCCCTGCACCTGCTCTTCTGAACCTTTCTTTACAGCCCTAACCTGTATGATCCACATCCATTTGTTCCTTCTTTGGTGTGTAACCAAACACATTGTCTGTGCCATTAACCCAGGCCCTTATGTGATGCTGGTGTGTGTCAGGGTCTGCTGCAGTTTTCAGGTCCTCAGGGTACTTGGTAAATATTCTCTAGGGTGAGTTGAAGTTTAAAATGTATATATCATTTTTCTAAAGATGTCCTCTTAACTAGAGCACACTCCTCCCTCACTGTATGCTATATCAGAGCTTTGAACTGCATTCAAGATAACCTCAGAAAAACCTCAGAGCAGAGTTTCACGATTTTGGAAACCTTTAGCAATGTTGAAGGTTTATAAATTTACACATGGTAATTACACACCCACCAGTAAAAAGCACACATCTGGAGATGTGTAATCCCTTGGAGAGCAGTAGACCCAGCCGAGGTGACAGATGGAGAAAGCAAATGTCCTGGAAAATAGAAATAATTCCAAAGTATTTATTTATGTAAAGTCTATTTATTTATTTATTTATTTAATCAATCAATCAATCAATCTTCCAGTGTGGGGCTTGAACTCATGACCCCGAGATCAAGAGTCACATGTTCCTCCAACTGAGCCAGCCAGGCGCCCAAAATTCCAACATGTGTATAAAAGCAGGCCTTCAGCTGCTACCAGTTCTCTCTTGACCACCAATGTTGGCAACTTTGTGTTGAAGGGAGAGAGGAAGTGGAAATGAAAACCTAAGGCTGTACCCCCACGTATGGCGCTGGGTGGGACCAGAACTCGGGGTCAAGCCGGTCGGCCCTGTTGGCGTGCGCACCGTGTGGTTTAACTGACAGATACTCCTGGGTGTCTGCTGACCCCACTGCTGAGGAGAGGACTCTGACCGATAGGCTGCATTTGGAGTTATGTTGGCATGATTGTGGCTTGGGTTTTTTGGCCACCATGTGGGCATTTCCTAAAAACATTTGATTTGGGTCATCAAAACCACTGCTTTGATGTTTTAGTGATAAGGCCCCTTACAAATTAGAGCACTGGGAGTAGCAGTGGACAAAGCCAAGTTTTGTTGTTGTTGTTTTTTTAAAGAAAGCATTTAATGTTTTCTTATTTTTTTTTTATTCTATGTATTCATTTGAGACACAGAGATACAGAGAGAGAGAGAGAGCATGAGCAGGGAGAGAAGCAGAGGGAGAGGGAGAAGGAGGCTCCCCGCTGAGCCAGGAGCCCAATGTGGGGCTCGATCCCAGGACCCTGGGATCATGACCTGAGCCGAAGGCAGACGCTTAACCATCTGAGCCACCCAGGCGCCCCGCCAAGTTTTGTTTTAAAGTCCCTGAAGGCAGGACTTGGGCTTTCTTTTGATGATTCTGTCAGGCCTTACGTCCAATCATTCTAAACCAGGGGGCAACAGACAGGAGGACCCTAGGCAGAGCGACAAGATGCATTTGAAACCGTAAACCCACGTCTGTGGGAGGAAGTCAGGGAGGGTGTCCTCACTGGGGAGTGACTCGCTCTGTCCACGAGTTCTCAGTGCTGTGCTTCGGACGGCTCGTGTGAGAAACAGGCTCTCCACTTTCCTCCAGTCCCATGAGCCGCTTTTGTCAAACCCTTCATTCCCCCAGGAGACTCCTAAAGAGTCCCCCCCGCCGGCCCACTCCGTCTTGCATGCCCTAATCCATTCCTTGCCGTGTTGTGACCCTCAGGGTAAAGACCGAAGTCCTTTACACAGCTCACTAAGCTCTTGGCCAGGTGGTGCCTACTTCCCTCCCTAAGCACTGCTCCCTACCCCCCACCTTGCTGCACTCCAGCTATTTAAAAAATGTGCTTAGAGTTCCAGATGCCCATTCTGTTCTGTTGCCTCTAGGCCTCTTCGTGCGCTTCTCTTTGGCATGCCTGTTCCCCAGTGTGTTTCCCGTGTCTAAGTTCCGTCATCTTCAGCTCATAGTTTAAACATCACCTCCTCAGGAAGCCCTCCCTGACTGCCCCGCACACGGGGCTGGGGCCCCCCTGAATGCCCCCATAGTGACCCTAGTTCAGTGACCCTGTTTGACAATCTAGTCTCCCAGGCTTGTGCTCTTAGAAGTCTGAGACTCTGCCTTATATGCCCAGAGCCTAGCACAGTGCCTGGCTAGATGCTTAAACAGTATTTATTACATGAAAGAATGTGAAATAAATGCTCAGGGGTGAATGCTCTGCTTCCCCCAGAGCATCCGCATTTTAGCCAACGTCCTAAGAAACCTGAAGTCTTCCCCTAGAACAATGCATCAATGCCAGCAATGGGGAAGGCTGAGAAATCATCTAGTCCAGTTGTCCCAAACTCCTATGCATCAGAACCACCTAGGGGGTTTTAAAAAAATACAGTTTCCCTGGCCCTGGCCCCACAAAGTAGCCAGGAAGCTGTATCAGTAAAACTCTTCAGAAGACCCTCAGGCAGACATCTGACTAATATTTGGGAGCCATTGCTTTAGTCCAGCTTTCTCTTTTTACAAGAAGGAAGACGGAGACCAGGAGAGGGTAGGTGATATGCCCAAGGTTGTATAGCTTGTAAGTAGCCGAGCCTGGAATGGACTATCTTCTGATCTCAACTCCAGCTCCAAAAGTTCCAGTCACTGTAGCAGGCCAAGGGGGACAGGTAGGGGGACCTTCAAGAGAGAACTCCAGGCCATCTTGGCAGCCTCTACTGTCTGTCCGGGTGTTGAGCTCTGCCTTCTACCATGCAATCTAATGTAGATAGATATTAGCTATTATATATTAGAATATATTATATACCTATATTAGAATATATACTGTATATTAGAAATATATATATAGGGCGCCTGGGTGGCTCAGTTGGTTGAGCGGCTGCCTTCGGCTCAGGTCATGATCCTGGATCGAGTCCCGCATTGGACTCCCTGCTCGGCGGGGAGCCTGCTTCTCCCGCTCCCGCTCCCCCCTCTTGTGCTCTCTCTCTCTCACTCTCTCTCTCAAATAAATAAATAAAATCTTTAGAAAAAAAAAAGAAATATATATATATTTCAGCACTTGTATCTTTCTGCTTCTCTTTAGAAAAGAAGCGGGCAAAGGTAGCTGAACAGCCTACACCCCCCATTCAGGAAGAACCTGAGCCTGTTAGCAATATCCTACAAGGGGATGACATTCTTGCCTTAGCCATTAAGAAGGAAGACCTGAAGAAGGTAAGGATAAAGTCCAGGGATCCCTTACTGCAGGATGAGCATTTCCGGGTCAGTCTGTGTGGTCTAGAACATCAGCCATGTCCACTGTCTCTTCACCACCTCCCTACTCAGAGGGAGGGTCTAATTCCATGGAAAAATTGGACATGGATTCTTTGCACTTCTGCATCTAAAGGAATTTACTATGTTGTTTGTTTTAACGTTGCTGAGAGTCCTATAGAACCACAGGGAAATGAGATGTTGAGGTGTCTTGCTTCTCATGGAGGCAAGTGCCCGTCATCCCCATTTCGCAGAAGGGAAAATGAGCCCGAGAAGCACATTACAGATGTGGATACAGCTGCTAAACCCTAACCCCATGCTTTACCTGGAAGAGTCAGCCACTTCTCCCCTGCACTGTCTGGAGGATCTAAATGTTACTTTTTTCCGCCCGGATGTTGCTGAGCCTTATGTCTGTGGCATATAGGCATTTCCTCGACAGAGCATATGGACAGAGCTGGAGCAACATATTTTTCAGCCTTCAGGAGTTCCACCAAGAATTGGGACAGAGGGGATGGGTGGCGTTTTTTCCTCCTCCTGATCTCAAGTGCAATTCTCCTCTGTTTTGTTTTGTTTTAGCAACACATTCCTCGCTTTATTGAGACACAAGATAGACCTGCTATCACCCAGAAATTTATCATCCGTAAACTCAGACCCAAGGATCCAAAGAGGAAGGTCTGCCGCTTAGTAGCACATCCTGCTACTCCAGATGCAGCCACGAAGCCCCTGGACTACTCTGGTATGGCCCCGCCTTGGCCCGGGCCTCTGAGTTCATGGGCCGGCCTTGAGAGGGAGCTGGGTCACCCTCAGAAAGTAACCCCCTCGAAACATTGACATGAGCTAGTCCTTCCCCTCCGCTGCCCCGCACCCAGGCCCAGGTGACAGCTTCCATGACCGTGACCAGATCCTGCCTCACCACATCTTGGGGAGTCTCCAGGACTTTAAGAGAATTGCAGTTGCTCAAGGGAACACCCAGGTTGGTTTGTACAGAGTTGCTGGGGCGGGGAGGGGAGTTGGGGAGGAGAAGTCACTGAAGCCATTCGGGTCATAGCCACCTGGCGGAGTCAAGCAGGACTGGGGGACTGAGGTTACAGAGACAGTGCCAGTCTCTGGGCCCTGGAATCTGAAGTGCTCGTGACCCTCCCCTGAAAGAGTAAAGCCACTTAAACTAGCTTCAGCTGAAGTCAGCAATTCACTATAAGGATACAGAGGCACCTCAAGGAACCCCAAAGCCAGAGGGTGTCCGACTCCAGACTGGACCCAGAGAAGCCGCAGGGCTCGGGGCTCCCGCTCCCCCACTGCCCTCCACTCCTCTGTGCACCAGCTTCATTATGCCTTCTCCAGTGCCTGGCCTGCTCTCCTCTTTGGTGCACATGGGGAAGGACGGTGGCTTCCTGCAGCTCCCGGGGCCGCGTGTCTGTCTGTCTGTCTGTCTGTCTGACTTTCCCGGTGTGCAGTGCTTTGCTCGCTCTCCGCTCCTTTGCTCCAGGCAGAACATCTCTGATGGGTCTGGTGCTAAGAGGCCTGGGGTCATATAAAAATGACTCTGTCGCCCTGCAGGTGAAGGTGTCAATTAGCATCAGTTGTGAGGGGGACAGAGAGACTGAGAATGGCTGACCACCGTCTCAGAACAAAGATTCCCATCTGAAAGAGAGGGCCCTGACGGGGGCTTCCAAGGCTCCCTGGTTCCGTCACTTGCTAAGTTAGGGTCCAGAAGAGAAGGGACTCTGAGCAGAGGGGGAGGGCAGCAGGGGGTGAGGCCTGGAGAAGTCTCTGCTCAGCCCTGGCTCCGCGTCTGCTCACTGTCCTCTGCATGCTCTCCCTGTACGTTTCAGCTGGCTGAGCTGATACGCACCCCGCCGGGCCTGGTGACCCTCATCTCTGCTAAAGAAGAGCCAAAGCAGAAAGCCCCAAAAGAAGAGAAGGCACATCCCTGGGCCCCACCTCCCCAGCACAACTTTCTCAAAAACTGGCAGCGCCACATCGCCTTGTGGAAGAAGCAGCAGGAAGCCCTCAGTGGTGAGCAAAGGGGACAGGGTTCCCGCTGGGCCTTGGCCACCACCGAGGCTCCACTGCTGTTTTTTTCTGTCCCTCCACCTCGCCGAACATTGTGCCATCCACTCCCAAGTGCTTCTTGCTCTTAGTGGGTCCTGACATCAGCCCAGCCATGGGGCTGACCAGTGCGAAGTGCTAGGGTCCCTGTTCTGACTTGAGGGAGGGTCCGTGTTCTTGGTTCTCGCACTCTCTAGAACGCCTGAAGAAGCCCGTGAGCGAGCTGCTGATGCACACTGGGGAGACCTACAGACACATCCAGGAGGAGCGGGAGCTCATTGACCGAACACTTTCAACACAGCATGATGGGAAGGTAAGGACGGAGTTCCCAAGTGCTCTGTGAGGAGCGGGTCTGGGCCCAGGGATGGCTGCCTCAGGTTGCACAGTTGGGAACAAAAGAATCTGCTCATTGCAAGGCATTGTTTTGTTGTTGTTGTTGTTGTTGTTGTTTTTAATTAATTAATTTATTTTTTTATTCTTATGTTAATCCCCATACATTACATCATTAGTTTTAGATGTAGTGTTCCATGATTCATTGTTTGTGCATAACACCCAGTGCTCCATGCAGAATGTGCCCTCCTCAATACCCACCACCAGGCTAACCCATCCTCCCACCACCCTCCCCTCTAGAACCCTCAGTTTGTTTTTCAGAGTCCATCGTCTCTCATGGTTCGTCTACCCCTCCGATTTCCCCCACTTCATTCTTCCCCTCCCGCTACCTTCTTCTTTTTTTTTTTTCTTAATATATATTACATTATTTGTTTCAGAGGTACAGATCTGAGATTCAACAGTCTCATTGCAAGGCATTGTTAAGCCCTCAAGGCCTTCACGAAATCCTATCATTGGTCCTTACTGGGCATTCCGGCCGCCTGGCTAGCTAGGTTACGCAACCCGCGGTGGTCAGTGGTAGTCCGTTTCAGGGGAAAGATATCACCGGTACTGGGTTATTAGAATAGTCTCAGTGTTCTAAAAGCCGAGGCTCCAGCTTTCAGGTGACCCGGGGCACCGTCCTGTGCTGTGGTTTGTCAGTGCAGTGCCGTCCGTCTGGGGCTACAGCAGGGCATCCAAAAAACAAAGTGGATGTTCTATCCTGCTCTCAGGGCAGCAGCGAATCCCCCCAGGGAAAGCATCTGAAGTCTGTGGCACTCTTGTCCCCCCGGGCCCCCCACCTCCACCAGCCTCTCTCCAAAGAGCCCAGGTGATCTGACTCCCATGTCCTTCCTTGCCAGAGCTGTGAAGAGACCAGTGGGTTCTGGAGTCGCCTGGAATACCTGGGAGATGAATTGACGGGTCTGGTAATGACCAAGACAAAAGCTCAGCGTGGCCTCCTGGAACCGATCACTTATGTCAGGAAGCCCCAGTGCATCCAGGCGGAGATGGGTGAGGAGTGGGCCGGAAACGCTGGCTGGCCTAGGAGGGGGGACAGCGTGGCTCTGGAGTGAGAACGGCCTGGCATGGAGGCCCATAACTGCCGGAGGTCCAGCCCCCCCTGCAGTAAGACAGCGAAAGGAGGGGGAGGGGGGCGAGTGGGAGCAGGGGCTGTGGGGCTGCTCTGTCCACACGGCCGCCATGGCTCGTGGTCATCGAGCACCTGGAATGTGGCTAGCGTGGACTCAGGTGTGCTGTAAGTGTGAACTACACACTGGGTTTTGAAGATTGTACTAAAAAATATACTTTATTAATCATTTTTACATTGATTACATGTTGCAATGATACTATTTTTTATCTGTTGGGTTAAACTATATTACTAAAGTGAATTTCACCTGTTTCTTTTCACCTTTTCCAATGTGGCATCTAGGGAATTTTAAATGACGTCCGTGGCTTGCATTTGTGGTTTGCATGCTATTTCTGTGCTGGGTTCAGGCCCCGGCTGTGTTGGGTTTGCGAACTCCAGCGAGTTACTTAAGCTCTCTGGTCCTCAGTTTCCCCATCTGTAAAGTACTGTGGGACGTGAGAGTGTTAAATGAGACAGGGTGTGTAGTGAGAGATTGCAATTGTGATTATAATCCAAAGGTTTGCAGGGTTGCAAGCTGATCTTGCAAGAGTCCTGCATAGGGCTGCTGAGGCGGGAGGTACAGGGCGGGAGGACCAGAGTCCAGCCGCACAGGGAAGCTGTATTCTCCCCTTTCCCAGAAGTGGTGCTGGGGTGGGTGCTCACAGAGCCCTGGAGAGTGGGTGGGGAGAGGCCACCGCAGACGACTGTGCTGAGGGCCCCTGGACCCTACTGCTCCAGGACTGCTGGCCCAGAAGGAGGCTCCGTACCGCTACACCTGGGATCGGAGTCTGTTTCTGATCTACCGACGCACGGAGCTGCAGAAGGTCATGGCAGAGCTGGATTTTAGCCAGCAGGTCAGTATGCCTCTGTGCCGGGTCCAAAGCCCCTCGAGATGTGCCTGTCTTCAGTCAGTTAATCTTCCCTTTCTCGGTCTCTCTGAGGATATTGATGGCCTGGAGGTGGTGGGCAGAGGGCAGCCTTTCACGACTGTTAAGGTGGAAGACTATTCAGTATTTGGTAGGAGCCAGGAAAGCTCCTCTGAAGACATGGTGCCCTTGTGAGTCGGCCTGGGCCCTAGGGAGAGAGGTTGGAAAGAGTGGCTTCCCCCGGCACCCACAGTATGAAGGGCAGACTCCCCCCTCTGAAATCCAGGTGCCTCCATCCCAGCCTCTCTCTGGGCCCCTTCCAACACCTGTGCCAGCTCCCTTCCAGCAACCAGCCCCTAATGGGGATTTCCTGGCCATTCCTTTGCTGGTGAGTGCCGTGCATGAAGAGTCTCTGTGAGTCCAAGAAGTGCCCACCTGTAGGAACAGAGCAGGACAAAGTGAAGCCCGAGTGGAGCTGAGGGTACTTCATCAGAGGGCAGAGGCAGGCACCTCTCCAGACTTCCTGGCAGCCATTTCCCTGGGCTCCGTGGGGCAAGACTGTGGTAGCTTCGGGGAAAATAAGTCGTTGGTTTTTCTTACAGAGACTTAGCCAGTTACCCTGATGTGGTCCCCATGCCTATTCTTGGCCCTTCTCTGCTGTTCTGTGGGAAGCCAGCTTGCTGGATCAGAGGCAGTAACCCACAGGACAAGGTAAAACTGCTTCCACCCTCACCCACCTGCTGGAAGGGCCTCCCTCGGGTGCAGTCCCAGGGTGACTGTGGCAGTCACAAGGAGCCTGGACAGTCACCTATTTGCATTTTTATCTGGTCATGCATTCAGCATGTCTGAAAATGGTAACAGCAGTGCTAACTTGCGCCAGAATAAAATCACAAGGCTGAAAAGAGACTGTCACAAGCCACCCAGTTTGTACCTAGCCCACAAGCATGTAAATAAGCAAACCTTCTCAAACAGGTACGGCTTCAAGAAAGTTCTAAAATATTCTTCAGGGGGCGCCTGGGTGGCTCATTCGGGGTTAAGTGTCCGACTCTTGATTTCAATTCAGGTCATGATCTCAGGGTCATGAAATTGAGCCCCATGTCGGCCTCCATGCTGGGCGTGAAACCTGCTTAAGATTCTCTCTCTCCTGGGCACCTGGGTGGCTCAGTTGGTTAAGTGTCTGCCTTTGGCTCAGGTCATGATCCCAGGGTCCTAGGATGGAGCCCCACATTGGGGTCCCTGCACAGTGGGGCTTCTTCCTCTCCCTCTGCCCCTCCCCCCTGCCATGCTCTCTCTCTCTCTCTCCCCCCTCTTTTTCTCTCAAATAAATAAAGTCTTTAAAAACAAAAAAAACTAGGGGCGCCTGGGTGGCTCAGTCGTTAGGCATCTGCCTTTGGCTCAGGTCACGATCCCAGGGTCCTGGGATTGAGCCTCGCATCGGGCTCCCTGCTCGGCCAGGAGCCTGCTTCTCCCTCTCCTACTCCCCCTGCTTCTGTTCCCTCTCTAGCTGTCTCTCTCTCTCTCTGTCAAATAAATAAATAAAATCTTTAAAAATAAGTAAGTGAATAAAAATTTAAAAAAAAAACTAAAAAAAGATTCTCTCTCTCCTTCTTCCTCTGCCCCTCCCCCGAACCCCCCTCAGCCCACCCCTGCTTGCGTGCATGCCCAGCTCTCTTTCTCTTAAAAAAAAAAAGACTTCAGGTCTAAGGAGCAGAACCGTTCATCAGATACAAAATCTGTTTTCTCTCCCCTTCTTGCTGGGGATGGCAGAGATGGCCCCTATCGGGGTACCGTGATAGCACTCAGAGCACCCAGGCCCTGGAAGATGGGGACACGGGACTTTCGGTGCCAAACCCAGAAAAGTCCCTGGCAAACCAGGACGAATTGGTCACCGTAGGCCAGAGCCTTCCTCAAAGATGTTTCTCATACCTCCTCCTTCCCTAGAAGCACGTTGGAATTGCTGTCCGCTTGACCTTTGAAACTCTAGAAGGGGAGAAGACATCTTCGGAACTGACCACGGTCAATAACGGCACAGTGGCCATTTGGTACACCTGGCGGCGGCGCTCCCAGCTGGACTCCTTCCAAGACCTGAAGAGAAACAGGATGCAGCGGTTTTATTTCAACAATCGGGAAGGTACCTGGCTGCCTCGCTCCCCGCCTCCCATCCTCGGTCTGTGAGGAGCCACAGTTTGGCTGATGCTCCTGTAAGGTTGAGCCGCTCTCCCCTGCCTCCTTTCTTCTGTGAACTGTGTCCTCTCCTAACTGTTCATGTCAGCTGGGGGAACAGTCAAACTCTTGAGAACACCAAGAGGTGAGTCACCAGAGAGCAGAAATTTTCTCGGGGTTCAGTTACCTTTGTGTTCAGGCCTGAGGCTAGGATGACCGCCCCCCCATCCCTGTTTGCCTGGGACTTCCCCAATTTTTGCATGGAAAGTCGAAAGTCCCATGTCCCAGGAGACCCCTCAGTTCTGGGCAAACTGGGATGGTCCGTCACCCTGCCTGGGGCTCAGGTAACTGTACATGCCTAGGCTTAGGGCTCAGTGAACTGTCTTCGTGCAGGCTTGGGCCCAGCTAGCTCCTGTGTGGTGAAAACTCCTGTCTCGGTCCCTCTCAGGTGTGATTCTGCCTGGAGAAACGAAAACCTTTACCTTCTTCTTCAAATCTTTGCATGCTGGCATCTTCAGGGAATATTGGGAGTTTGGAACCCACCCCACCCTATTAGGAGGGGCTCCCCTGCAGGTCAATCTCTACGCAGTCTCCCTGACCCAGGACATTTTTAGGGAAGAAAGGAAGTTACTGAAGGTAAGCGACCCAGGACCTTGGCGCCATGGACAGCAGATAGGTTCCCCTGGACTTCTTCCTGGCGCTGCCTACGGGGATCCTGCTTCTCCCAGCCCCAGAGGGGAGTGTTTCACAGGCAGGCAGCTGTTTTTGCTCAACACACACTCCCAAGGGCTTTGTGATGTAAAAGGTGGGTGGGCACGGAGAGGAGGAATAGCTTGGAGGCCCCCAGAACTACTAGAAGTACCGTTTGTTCACTGTTGTCTGACTCTATCCCGTGGGGTCCGATTTAACTGGCAAGCCTTCAAAACCAGAGAGAAAAACCTAACTAGTGGGGCTGACACCCAGAGAGAGAGTGAGGTGGGCACTGGGCCCCGTGTCGTTGTCAGTTCCGGAGCTGACCAGCTGGGGCGGTGCTTCCAGGCGCTCTGGAGAAAGCCGCCTCTTTCTGCTGTGGCCCTCAGATACGAGCCAACTCCGTTAGCTGGGGCTCAGCCCACCGTGAGCACGGGTCATGTGGACAAGTGCCACGTCTGCTTTACTTGCTGACAGTAGGACCTACCTCTCACATGAGACGCCCCTCCACTCTTTTGTGACACCCAATGGTGTGGCCAAGCCACGTCCACAACAGGGCCCAAACCGTGTGGTCCTTGCTCCTTGCCCTTCTTCCTAACCTGGGGGAAGTGCTGACTGTGTGACCTTCTGGCCCCACGAGGGAGCAACATCTCTGGAACTGGCTTCCCCACTACATCCTTTCAGTCTCTTTTAGAGAACAAGGATATTTAGGGTTACCCAGCGGTTTGAGTCTGAGAACAGGTGTGTGTGTGTGTGTGTGTGTGTCTGTGTGTGTGAGAGAGAGAGACAGATAGATGACAGACAGACGATGGCAGGAGCTCAACCCCTAGGAAGGCACAAAGTCCTGAGGGCTCTGGCTTCCCTCGAGGGTGCAGCATGGGTTTCGAAAGGCTGAGCTGCCATCTTGTCCCATCTTCCTTTCCCCAGCTCAAGCTGGCTGCCCACGAAGCAGTCACCATCGTGGAGAGCGTGCTGCAGGAGCTGCTGAGTGGGATCCTGACCCTGGAGCGTGTACAGTCCCCTGTGGACGCCTATCTCACTGAGGAGGACTTGTTCCACCATAGGAATCCTCGGGTACAGGCCAGCGCCGGCCCCTGCGCCCTCACACACGCCTGGGCCCGCTCTGAGCATCTTCCATGAGTAACTCACTTTCTCACAGCAGCCCGCTGACCAGGGGCACTATTTATATCCTTGCTTTACAGTGAGGAAACTGAGGCCCAGGGCGGTTAAGTAATTTGCCCAAGATAACTTAGGAAGTAAGTGGACGCTTGGTCAGAATAGAGCTTCACAAACTCCTTCATTCAAACCCCATCTTACGGGGCACTTGGGTGGCTCAGTCGTTAAGCGTCCGCCTTCGGCTCAGGTCATGGTCCCAGGGTCCTGGGATCGAGCCCCGCATCGGGCTCCCTGCTCAGCGGGAAGCCTGCTTCTCCCTCTCCCGCTCCCCTTGCTTGTGTTCCCTCTCTCGCTGTGTATCTGTCAAATAAATAAATAAAATCTTTAAAAAAACAAACCAAAAAACCCCCATCTTACGTGGAAATGCAATGCAAAAAAAGCTCTAAGCTGGAGATACTCAGGAGGCAGGGGAAGTGAGGAGCTGCTCTGGCCGCAGTGGCTGCTGCTGGCTTCTTCCCTGTAGCCTCCATCTTGCTCTTGAGGGAGTGGGGGAACCTGAGCAGGCTCGCTGGGACTCTGGGGGCCCCTCCCCCCCACCTCCCCGCCACGTGACTTCTCTTGCCTTTGCTGCAGCTGCATTACCAGCACCAAGTGGTGCAAAGCCTGCACGGCCTGTGGCGCCAGTTCTTGAACGTGCCCCCCAAGGCCGAGGAGGCCAGGCCCGGCAAGGATGAGCACCTCAGCCCCGGGGCCCGGGCTGCCGCACCCCGGCCAGCCTCCTTGGAGAAGCCCTCTGTGAGCAGGGAGCCTTCAGCACACTTTAAGAGCCCAGTCCCAGAATCGCAACCGACCCGGCAGGAGAATGAGGCCCGAGATGCTTTTGGGCCCCAGAAGCCTAGAGCGGGGGCCTGGGCTTCTCATCGGAAGAGCATTATGGAGGAGATCCTGGTGGAGGAGAGCCCAGACCTGGGGAACACCAAGAGCCCCTGGGAGCTACATGGCCTTCCCCCCACCGAGTGGAATCTCTGCTTGGAGGATTTCAGAAAGGTGCTCCCCTGACTCGGCAGGGGTGGGCAGGATGGCAGTCCGGGGGTAGGTGCCAGGGCACTGAGGGAGGGCCCCGGCAGTCCCCCTGGCCCCCACGGGCAAAGAAACTCTTCTGAGGACCCAGAGGAAGCAGTCTCTTGGGTCATCTCTTTTTGTCTCGGGTGCCTAGGCCACCATGGTGCAGTGGGGAGGGGGGGTGCCCTCTCTGACCCAGGCACATCTTGGAGAAGGGGTTCATGGGTGCATAGTTCTGGGGGAGGTCCGCGCTCCATGGCTGCATCTGCTCCTGGCCATCTGTCCTCACCGCACCAGGCCCGTCACTAGATGACACAGGGACCCTTGGTGTCCTGGGCGGGATGGTTGCCCATGGTACCTACAACCCTGCCAGGCAGTGATGACACTCCCTGAGGAGAACCAGAGGGAGGACGCCCTCATCAGGCTCAACAAAGCAGCCCTGGAGCTGTGCCAGGAGCAGAGGCCCCTGCAGTCCGACTTCTTGCACCAGACATGGTAAGTGTCCCTCTCCCCCTCCCCCCCGCAGAGCGGGCCCCGCCTCCCCACTGTGGTTCTGGGCACGCAGTCCTAGGACTCCCCTCGAGCCCAGAAAGGTGCCGCAGACACTCCCCGCTCTGGCACCTGCCACAGCAGCCCCCCTAGCCGCCTGCCCCTCTCCGGAGCAGGTAGAACAGAGCGAGTGCCCCGTCTCTCTCCCACCCTCTCGCCCACTTCCTTCTCAGTGAGCAGAGGTCTGGGCCGAGGACAAGCCGGAGGGCAAAGAGGAGGGGGGCAGAGTGAGGCCATGGAAAGCCTCACTTCTCCTGTGGAACTTGCTGGGCGCCTTCGCTGGGGCCCTCAGGAAATCTCACACAAGGTCCCCCGGCTCCCTTCGGGCCAGACCCAAGTCTAGCCAGGGTCTCAAGCTGGAGCCTAGACTGACCTAACCGTCGTCCCCGGCCACTCTTCCCCAGCTGCCACCTGAGGGAAGCCAGATCCCTATCTGAGCGCGGGCACAGGTGCTGGTGAGGCTGCCGGCCCCCTCCGTGGTAGCCCCGGGCACCCCTGTCTTAGAAGGGAAGGACCCATGCCTCCGCACAGTCAAAGGCAGATGAGGGGTGATGGCTTTCTCCAGTAGGCTTTGCTCTCTAGTTTGCAGCTGTGGCGGGATATGATCGATGGCCTGGTGAGCCATTCCCTGTGGCTGAGGGCTCTACTGGGCCTGCCCGAGAAGGAGACCATCTATTTGGACATTCCAGAAGAGCAAGGTCAGACTGCAGCCCCGCCCCGTGGAGCCTCCCCACCCCTCCCACGCCTCGGCCATGGGCACCCTTCTGGTGGGACCTCCATCAGGTTGATCCATGGAGTAGGCCCTGTCACCCTCCCGTCTACTGCCAGGATTTGGGACCTAGAAGCGACCTGAGTAACCACCTTCATTCAGTCCCCTGGTTTTACAGGTGGAGTCCCAGAGAGGTTGAACGACTTGCCCATGCCATAGATGGGGCTGTGGTGGGGCTGGGACTGGAACCAGGCCTCCCGCCCCTGCCCTGCAGGTCATGAACCTGAACTGGGGGCTCTGCTCCTGTCTGGGAGCATGAAGGGCTCAGGACCCTTGGCTTTTCCGACCCTCCCTGTGGGGCCTGGGAGGCCAGGTCACACTGTCTTCCACTCACCTCCCTTAGATCGAAAGTCTCCTCTTGGCACGGAAGTGAAAGTAACCACCACGAAATTTGGGAAGGAGGACCGGAAAGGGGTAGCCCAGGAAAAGAAGCAGCTGGGAATCAAAGAGGACAGAAAAGCAGCCAAGTTGCTAGGGAAAGAGGCATGCCGGGACATAGAGGGTGGGCCTTGGGGGGGCAGGGGAGGCATCGGAAGGGCTGCGGCAGGTGGGCACTCGCTCTAGCATGACGCCCTGGCTCTCCCAGTGAGCTGCTCTTGAGAAAGCCATGGACCTCCCCCGGGAGTTCCTGAAGGCTGTGTGTGTCTCCGTCTCTCCAAGCAGGACCGTTCAAACAGCAAGAAGCACAAGGCAAAGGATGACAAGAAACCAATGAAATCTTCAAGTCGGGACGGGCTTTCCTTGGAAGAACCTGCCCCTGAGGGCACAACCACTTCTCAGGAGCCCACAGATCCCCTGGTCATGGAGAAGTACACCAAGAGACTGCACACGGAGGTGAGGGCACGAGCCCTGCGCCCAGCCCTGCCCTTGCTCACACCTGCTCTTCGGGCCTTCCTCCCCTCCCTCATCCGTCCCATTTATTCCACGAACAGTCAACACCTAGTGTGTCCGTGCTGGAAGATGGAAGCAGAGCTGCCCTTGTGAAGGGCATCCTGGTGTGCGAGACAGACCTCGTGCATAAGCAACACGCCCTGTACGTTAGGTGGCAAGCACTCTGGGAGAGAGAGAGAGATAACCCAGGGCCAGGGGGTGGGGAAGGCCAGGGTGCGGCGGGGGAGCCTCCCTGAGAAGGTGACATCTAACAGACTCGAAGGGAGGTGAGGGGTGGCCCTGTGGCCATCGAGAAGAGTGCCCTAGGCAGAGGGGGCAGCTAACGTAGGGGAGGGAGGGGGCCGGGAGGACAGTGGACAGAGAGGCCACTGAGAGGGAACAAGTCACAGGTCAGGTGGGGCTCTGCAGGCCATTGTGTGGACTTGGGGTTTTCCTGAGTGAAATGAGCAGTCCACGAGGGTTTGAATGGAGGAGTGACACAGTCTGACTTGGAAGATCACTCTGGCTGCAGTTAGGAAAACACACTAGAGGAACAGAGCAGACGCCCCTCCCTTTCTGCTGCTCCCACTTCCTCTCTGCGTGAGGTGCACCTCGGCAGAGGTGTCCCTTGGGGGAACAGCGCGTCGTAGAGTGAATTTCCAGCAAGCGTAAGGGTTGTGACGCACTGGAGAGACTTGATGCTGGTATATTCCTAAGCAGCAAGTCCTTAGAGATTCGCCCAGGTATTGTGTTCTGTTCATTGTTATTGTTTCGGAGGAGAGGTCCACAAAGCCACCCTCGATTGTCACTGTGTCTAATGGCGGTGCTTTGTCGGCCTCCAGTGTGGACGGCTAGATGGGATTGCGTCACGTACATTGGGGTAACGCTCTGGACTGAGTTTGAACAGAAGCTCCATTTGCTGCTGGTGACATCACGGCGATTTCTGAAGGTTGATGGGGTTTAGAAAGGAATCCGAGGGCTCTCTGCAATGAAGAATCAGCTTGCCAAGGCTCATGTGGCCCAATCCCCCGGGAGGGCACGGTCCTGGAGACATTTCAGTCTGAGGAGGATCTGTGATCTTACCAGAAGTAAAGCTGGCCTCTGGGTGGTGGGGGTGGAGCTGGACCACCCCCGGGGGTAAATGGGCGCCATTCCCTGGAATTACCCCTTTAACCACTCCAGGCTCTTGGGCCCCCATATGTCCCAAGGGCCTGGTGCAGGATTGCTTCCCCCAGACGGTTTGAAAAATAAAACTGTCTGCAAAAACAAAAGTTCTATAGAATCTCCACAGGTTTGGTTTTACCCCGGCTGCCGCTCTCCCGTCCTGGTGTAGACCTGTCCACCCTCATTGCATGCTGGGTGCTCTCTTGTGGAGGTGCCTTCCACAGAGCAACCCTCTGCCTGTGATTTCACCCCATTCTTCCAGGTCTACGGGCTGCTGGACACCCTAATGACTGACCTGATGGTCCTGGCTGACGAGCTCAGACCTGTAAAGGATGTCGAGGAGACTTTGCGTCTTTGCACCTGACTCATGTGCCCCAGGGTCTTCTGGGAAACTGGTTCACAAACAAATCAATAAAGAACTTTTGGGTTCCCACCACTTCCTTTAGGCCTTCATGTCTTGAATGTCGGATCTTGATGAGGGCAGCTCACGGCCAGGGTCTCCCGTGTCCCACCTGCCTCAGATTCCCCTCCTCTTAGTTCCTGGAGCCATCCAACAGGAGGAAGGAGAAACACACCTGGAAGGTGATGTGTGGCATGATGAGCAGAAGAGCAGGTTGCTACCAGGACAAGGAATGAATCAGGTGACAGGACAGACAGCATCACCCCTTGAAATCCCTGCCTCTGACCTTCCTTGGCCCACACTTTTGGGGTCACGCTTCCTGGAACCAGGTCTTCCCCAAGTGTCATCACCCAGCATGACCCAAGTGTGAGACCAGGAGAACGGGACCACATGGGGCCTGGCTCCCCGAGATCCTCCCAGTTCCACTCGGCCAAGGGCCCAGTCCCAGTCCCTGGGGATCATGCTTACCGCACTGTCAGACCCTAGAGGCCAGATCCCCGTGCCCTCAGCAGCCTGTCTCATCCCCTCCTGTCAGGCCAGGTGGCCCCCTTGAGCCACTTTTTGCCTTAAAAACAGCCTCTGGACATTACGTTCGCCCCCTTGCTCAGAGAAATGGGAAGTGGACAAGAGGTGGCTCCTGGACAGGAAAGTCGGCTGTCAGCTCGACTCAGCACCTGAATGGCTTTCTGGCCAAAATCATCATTCAGGGCCGGGCCTCCTGTGCTGAGTGGGCTCCAGGCTGCCAGAGTTTGAAGAGCAACTTGGCTAAGGCTGGCCTCACTGCCTTATGTGCTGGTGGAGCAGAGGTGGGGGCGGGAGATGGGGAGGTGGCCGAGGCCTCCCACCTGCTTGGGTTTGCATTTGGTGCTTCTGATAAAAGCCTCATGGGCCTCAGCATCCTCCAGGTGAGAGTGGGAGGAGTTTGGAGAGAGCAGGTCACTCTGTTCCTCAGGCCGAGAGGGGCTATGCCTGGAGCCTGGATGCTCCCTTCAGGGTGGCTGAGGGGGCCAGCTGGAGCCCACAGAAAACAAATCCACCAAAGGGCCAGCCTCCCCCAGGAAAGGTCTTCCTGGCCCAGCGGAGATGGGTAGGAGTGGGGTGGGTGTTGGAGCCCCCCACCCCCACCCTATTTCCTGCTGAGGCGGGGGAAGGGTTAACTCACTGCCGGCTGGGAGTGGGCTACCAGCCCTGGCTCCGGATCTGTACCTCCTGGGGACAGCCAGGGGGCCGGCCTCCCGCCTCGGAGGTGCCGCCTGCCCAGCCAGCAGGAAGGGGTTAACAAGCCCTGCGCGTCCTCCTGTGTCCTGTTACTGCTGAGGCGGACCTGCCCGGCCGGCTGAGCAACTTTCCGCCGAGGGCCGCCTGCCGGCTGGGTGTCTAAAACACCGGCGGCCAAGAGGCAGAGCTGCAGCCCGTTCTGGGGACCCTGCCGCCACCCTTCCAAGGGGTCTGCACCTCCTGGGGGGGGGGGGCGCATCGCCAGGACGAGGGCCCATGGTGGATGGCTCTGGGGACGCTCTCGAGGCTGCGCTGTCCCCCTGCCGCGCGGGTCGGAAGGTCACTGCAGAGGCTGCTCGTGGTCCCGGGGCTGGGGCCAAGGGAGCCTGCACCAGAGGTAAGCTGGCCCCTCCCTGGCAGGGGTGGTGCCTCTCATGGAAGGCTTGGGGCTTTGTCTTCCTCCAGGTCCCAGGGAGAGAGGTGAGGAGGACAGGGCCAGAGAGGATCCTGGAGGCTTCCTGCCTGCTGCCCCTCCCTCCTCCCCCCCTGCAGCCCCCAGGAAGCAGGACTCAAGGGCTGGCTCCCCATGCTGGGCCAGCATCTTTGGTGGCGCTCCCCACAGACTCCCATTCTCCTCTGCCCACCCCTCCTCCTTAGCCCCTGGTGGACCTCCAGCCTCGGGGCAGCCCCCACCCCTGTCCAGGGTCCCAGGACACAGCCACCTCAGGGCGGACTTAAGCTTAGAGCTCTAGCTCACACCCGTCCTTCCACCGGCAAGAGTTACTCACCCCTACCCCCTCGGGCCCCCCCCCAACCCTGGCCCCATGGCTCCTGCTGACCTGGTGTGGGGCAGGGGCTCCAGGCTGGTGGGACACACACACACACACACACACACACACACACACTCTGGACAAACTCTTGCACGTGACTCAACATATCTGAGCTCTTTCTTTCTCTCTGAATCCCCGCTCTGGAGATGCCCTCTACTTCCTTAGCCCTGACAGTTTCCCCAGTCCTGAGGAAAGAACCCCGCTCTCCCCTGTAAAGTCACCCCTGACACCCTATATAAAGGAGAAAGCAGAGACTTGTGCCCCATGGCCTGCACCCCCCAGCCTGCCCCTCCCCACTCTGCTCCCTACCCTCCTGCCTCCAACCACCCCCCACCCCACCCCTGCACGAGCCTCTCAGGCTCTGCCTTCTCAGTGTCCTTCCCTCCACCTGACAGGGTCTGGCTCAAGGTCACTGCAGTAATTCCATACCCGCCCGCCCTGGCCTGCCGTGGCCGCCACAGGCTGCCGGGTTTCTGTTTCACTCCCTTTTATTTCTGGGCATATTGTGTTCGGTAAAACGCTGGGCTTGTAATACTGCTGGCAGGGCTCCCAGCTGCTCCCTCCATGCTCCTTCCTTTCCTCCTCCCTCCCTTCCGTCCTCCCTGGGCCTCACCCTGCCCCCCTCTTCCTCCCCACTTTGTCCCTTCTAACTTTAGGGGAGGGAAGTCCAGGCACCTCCCTGGGGCTTCCGATCCCTCCCTTCCCCCCAGCTCCAGCAAAGGTGCGCAGAGAAGGCTCCTCCGTTCCCCCCTTCTAGAAGGAGAGTCCAGGCAGGCCTGCAGGGTCCATGCTGAGGGCCCCTCCCAGTACCCCAGGCTGGGCTGGAGGGCTGGGGAAGCCGGGCTCTGGTAGGACTGCTGGTGGAGTCAGGATGCCTGACTGGTTCTGCGGGTTTCCCTGGCCAGCACTGGGAGGGGTGTGCACTCAGGGCGGGCTGTGGGGCACAATTATTTCTCATCTTGACTCTTGCCACCCTCCAGCCCACCGGTTGGGGAGGTAAAGACGGGTCTGAGTCACTAGTGAGGAGGAGGCCAGGAGTTAAACAAGCGTTAGCTGTGGCATCCCCATAGAAGCCCTGCCAGGCTGGACGGACAGACAGCAGACAGAAGGTAGGCAGCCTTTCAGTCAGCATTCCGTGCCCCCCGCTGTCCCATGGGATCCCCTCCTCTGGGCCCAAGCTCTCCCAGGCACCTGGGTCCTGAAGAAGCCTGCCAAGGCCTGCTGGCTGCTTTGAACTGAGCCCAAGGTTGGCAGGGCTGGGTGGAGGGAAAGTCCAGGTGGGGGGAGGGCAGGACAGGCAGCCTCTGACTCCTGCCAAGTCCCAGAGTAGAGCTGAGAGGTGCAATCTCCATGGGTGGTGGTATTGGTGGGGGTTCACAGGTGGTGTGGACGCTCTGCGGGTCTAGCCTGTGTGTGTGTGTACCCATACCAGAGGAATGGCTGTGGCAGGGGGATTCTGGCTTGGGTTTCTGGTAGGGCCCTGGGAGAACCTTTTTCTTGAGCCTGGGTTTGCTTTCCCCAGATGGCCTGGTCCTGAAACTGGGGGGAGGGCAGCAGGCTGAACCTGTTTCCCCCTCAGCTGGGGTATCAGGGGTCTGCCACGCACCCAGGGCCTCAGGTTTGGGGTGCTCAGGCCAGCCTTGCCTTCAGGGAGCTTACATTCTGCCTGAGATGGAACTGAAACAATAAAGCAATCAGATGAATTCATTACAAAACCAGTAACCCTGACATAAGTATCGGATTCGTCTTCTAGAGACCTAGGGGTTAGTCCCAGCTCTGTCGCCTATACGCCCTGCCACTGTGGGCAGGCCATGTCCCCTCCCTGACCTCAGTGCTCTTGTGTGTACCATGGGGTGGCGGTGGCTAGGTCTCTTTGAGAGGCAGGCCCACCTTCCTGCCTCATACTCCTCTCTGGCTTCTGGCCCAGCTCAAGTATTCCCTCTGAGCTACCCTTCCTCACCCTGCAGCTTCACCTTACCTTCAGATCCCTGGCCATCACCTCCACTGGGAAATCCCCCCTGATTTTCCTAGCTTGGATGCTCCTCGGCATGCCCATGCTCGACTGAATCGTCTGTGCCCCTGCAACTGGATGTGTGTGGGCCAGGACTTATGCTCTGTGCCTGGCACAGTGTTGGGCTCAGAGAAGGCCCCAGGAACTAGGCATGGAATGAATTAAGGTGTACAAACTAAAGCCATGAGAAATGAGGAGATTGGGGACCGAGGAGCTGGGAAGGATAGGTCCTAAGATAGATCCTGGCAGAAATGGAAGCCATAGCCAGGCAGGAACAGGGCGGGCAGGCATTCCTGGGGTGACTTTTGTGTCTCTTGCTCAGGGCAAGGGCTGGGCGGGGGGTGTCTGCCAGGGTAGTTCCTGGCTCACACCAGCTCCATGAACCTCACTTCCCGGTCTGTGAATGGAGGGAATAATAATCTCAACTTTGTAGGGCGGCTGTGATGAGCAATGAGCACGCGAAGCTAGAAGTGCCTGCCACAGGCGGCTCCTGGCCGCGGGGACCCCTGGCCAGGCCTTCAGTCTGTGGCCGAGTGGCCGCCGAGGCGCACCATCGCCCCTGAGTTCCGTCCCTCTCTTCCTCAGACCCATGTGGAACCCAAGGACGCAGCCGCCCTGCTGAGAGCACGGCGGCCCATCTCTGGAGACCGTGACCTCGAGACGGTGGCCCTCGGCCCTCCACCTCCGGCGGGGGCGGGGGCCGCCCATCTCCAAGTCCCCAGCCATGACGACCTCCGCGCTGCGGCGCCAGGTGAAGAACATCGTGCACAACTACTCGGAGGCGGAGATCAAGGTGCGCGAGGCCACCAGCAATGACCCGTGGGGCCCGCCCAGCTCGCTCATGTCGGAGATCGCCGACCTGACCTTCAACACAGTGGCCTTCGCCGAGGTCATGGGCATGCTGTGGCGGCGGCTCAACGACAGCGGCAAGAACTGGCGGCACGTGTATAAGGCGCTGACGCTGCTGGACTACCTGCTCAAGACGGGCTCCGAGCGGGTGGCCCACCAGTGCCGCGAGAACCTCTACACCATCCAGACGCTCAAGGACTTCCAGTACATCGACCGCGACGGCAAGGACCAGGGCGTCAACGTGCGCGAGAAGGTCAAGCAGGTGATGGCCCTGCTCAAGGACGAGGAGCGCCTCCGGCAGGAGCGGACCCACGCCCTCAAGACCAAGGAGCGCATGGCGCTGGAGGGCACGGGCATCGGCAGCGGGCAGCTGGGCCTCAGCCGCTCTCGTGGGTCCCCGTCCTCCTACAACTGTGAGTGAGCCCCGGGGCTGGGGCTGGGGGGCAGCCCGAGTTCCGAGGGATGTCACGAGCATTCACAGAGATGAGGAATGGGGCGCAGAAGACAGCCGCAGGGCACGGCAGGTGGTCCGCAAGTTAGCGCAGAGCGCGGCCGGAGCTGTCCAGGGTGGGCCGGTGTGGCGGCCGCCCCGACCCGGTAGCGTGCCGTATCGTGCCCCCTTCTGGCTGAGTGATCTAGACGGCCCCCTCTCTGAATCTCTGCTTCCTCATCTGTGAAGTAGGGAAAATCTTATCTACTCCAGTTGTTGGATGTGAGAATTAAGTGAGACCAGGCCCAGGAATGCCCTTGGCCTTGCGCCCAGACACATGGCACAGGGCGTTCCATCAGTGGCATTCCTCATGACCCCCTGCTCGAGGGCACTGTCCTTGAAAATGGGGGTGGCTGCAGAGCCGTTCTTGACTCTGCTCCCCACCCCGCTGTGGGCTTCCTGGGTCTGAGGGGTACTCAGGAGGGCCCTCCTTTCGTAAAGCCCTTGACGACGTGGCCTTGACTGACGGGACCCTTGAAACCTCCCTCCTCACTGGACCCCAGCAGGATGGGCCCCCCCCTCCAACAGGAAGAGTGCAGGAGCTGGAGGAGAGGACCTGGCTTTGACTCTTACATCAGGAGCCCGGCCAGGCAACTCTGAGCTAGTGGCACATCTGTAAAGGAGGGATTGGAGTCTCTAGCGGGGGTGGAATGGGGAACCGTACACAAAGGGCCAGGCACGCCGCCTGGCCCCCTGGAGCCCCCAACTGCCGGTCGTTTCCTTCCTCCTCAGTTTCCCTCTCTGAGCCTTAACTTTCTGATGGGGGGAAGGGGAGGGGAGCGGCGTGGGCACCTCTGTGGTTACAGAAGCCACGGTGGCCGCTGCTGGTCGTTGCAGCCTCCTCCTCGTCCCCCTGCTACACCTCCGACTTGGAGCAGGCCCGGCCCCAGACGTCAGGAGAAGAGGAGCTGCAGCTCCAGCTGGCCCTGGCCATGAGCCGTGAGGAGGCTGAGAAGGTGAGGCCCGTGGGGCAGCCTGGGAGGCCCCACAGCTGGGCTGGGGGTGGCATGGCGGGGGGGACTAGAAGGAGGAAGGAAGGGTACCCTGATGCCCCACACCCTTGGCTCCTAGGCTCCTCTGCTCTGGGCCCCAAGACCCCAGTCCGGCTCCTAAGGACAGCACAGGGCCTGTCCTTGTCCCTGCGACTGTTCTGGCAGGGACTGCCTCCCTGCCTCCAGTCCCCTCTGGCTGGGCCTAGAAAGGGCAGTGAGTACCTAGTGGGTTGAGGGTACGTGTGTGTCTTCCGTGCCTGCTGCGGTCCCGTGGAAGGGAAGCAGTGAGTGTGCTGGGAGACACAGAGATATGCTGACCCCACAACCCCTGCCATCAGCTGTCCTTTTGGGGGGACAGGGAAACGCCCCCGATATCATTCGCTCTGCCATCACCTCTCTGGATCCAGGTAGACTGGGTGGGAAGCAGCTGGGGTTGGGCTTGGGGGCACTCAGGGAACCCAGAAGAAAAGGATCAATCTTCTGGATTTTGAAACTGGTCGCAGATCCAGGCAGGGAGAAGGCCACACCCACCTTGCTGCCTGGGAGCCGGCCGCTCACACCCACTCAGGGTGGGCACTTCTCTCTCCATCCCTTTCCCCCTGCAGGGCTATGTGGCCTGGGAGTGCAGGGAGCACTGGGCCCTATTCACCCCTCTCTTCCTCCCTCACAGCCGGTCCCCCCAGCCTCCCACAGGGATGAGGATCTGCAGCTGCAGCTGGCTCTGTGTCTGAGCCGGCAGGAGCATGAGAAGGTAGTCGGCCGAGCCTCCTGTGCTGGTGCAGGTGCTGGTGTAGGAGCAGGAGCAGGTGCAGGTGCAGGTGCAGGTGCTACATAGGCACTAACCAGGCTCCTCCCGCTTTGCCCAGTGGTCCTGCTCTGCCTAACCTCACTCTCACTGCACTCTTCTCAACTCCAGCTCCAGTCCCCTCAAGTCCAGCCTGGGCTGCTCATGCTGTCCTCACTCCTCTTGCCTTCTGCAGGAGGTGAGGTCTTGGCGGGGAGATGACTCCCCTGTGGCCAATGGCGCTGGGGCCGCAGTCCGCCGTTGGCAAGACAAACAGCCGGAGAGAGAAGAGAGAAAGGAGGAGGAGAACCTGAAAACCAGCCAGGTAGGCAGAGGCTGCACTGCCTGGGCTGACTGAGCCTGCGACATGAACTGAGTTGATATTTGTAGAGTTTAGAACCACGCTTCATATACAGTAAGCACTGTTAAAGCATTTATCCAATGAAAATGAGAGTGGAGGGGTGTGGTAGCCCCCAGACCCAGACCGCACGGGATGATGACTGAGCTCGAAGTGGGATACAAAGAATCCTGATCTGAGGCCCCAGGATTTGGGTTCTAGATTTGCTGCCACTCTGACTTGGGGCACATCACTGTTGTGGCCTCAGTTTCCCCCTTTTGTTGGACAGCTCCACCTCTGGTGTTCTAGGATTATGTGATGCTGTGGATGCAGCTGGGAGGGCGGGCTCAGGCACATGGTACTGACAATATCTTGGGCTCATACACATACTTTCCAAGAATAGGGGAGTGGGTAGCTCCTGGGAACAAAGCCACCCTCCAAAGCAGTGCATGCTACCCCTAGGGTGTCTCTGTCCCCTTTCTGCCCATGTTCACGGTGGCTAATTTCTGACTTAGGAAGGCAGACTTGTCATAAAATCTGTCTTTTACCACCACTGGGCTGGGGATCACGACAACTGAGGAAGGGGTCAGGCAGGCCCGGGTTTTATCCCAGCTCTGCCTCTCCCCAACTGTGTGACTTCATGCAAAGCTTCTCCCCTCTCTGGGCCTCAGCTGGTGTATCTGTAAAATGGGCACACCACTACCACACTACCTACTGCACAGGGTTGTTATGAACATCAGGCACTAAATGGATGAGGAAACATTTTATAAATTGCAAAGCACTGTACAGAGGTGAGGGATCATTAGTAGATGTTTGTGAAATGAATAAAGGAGAGAATGAGCTGGACTGAGGGAGACAGGCCAGGGACCGCCCTCCTCTGGTCTTGCCCACTTCTGAGCCATGGCTGCCTCTCCCACTCCACAGTCCTCCATCCTGGACTTGGCAGACATCTTCGCACCCACCCCGGCCCTGCCCTCCACTCACTGCTCCGCTGACCCATGGGACATCCCAGGTGGGCATGCAGGGCTGCAAGAGGTTCCCAGGCTGGCCCCAGAAAGCCCCTTCCTCCCCATAGCTGAGGACCACTGGGCAAGTCACTCACCCCTCTGAGCCTCAGCTTCCTCTGGGACACGGGGTTGTAGTGAGGGATGGGAGAGCACGTCTGAAGAGCCCAGCTCATGGAAAACTCAGAGATGTTCTCTCGTTTACCCTGGTCACTCTGCCTTTCCTGTCCCAGCCCATCGCTGACTGGGAAGGTGGCCTGAGCTGCCTGTGCCTGGGAGTCCAGGCTCCTGGCATAACTCGCTCAATATGGGCTCCAGCTTGCTGGGTGGGTCCTGAGTCAGCATCCCATCTGTGAGATGGGACCCTTGGCCTCCCAACTTGGTCTGGGTAACTGGGAAGGGCCCTGGACTGGGTATAAAGGTGGGCCTGAGGTCATGTCTGTGCTGTTCCTGTTTTAGGTCTCAGGCCGAACACAGAGCCCAGTGGCTCCTCCTGGGGGCCTTCTGCAGACCCCTGGTCTCCTATTCCCTCAGGAAGTGCCCTGTCCAGAAGCCAGCCCTGGGACTTGCCCCCTATGCTCTCCTCCTCTGAGCCCTGGGGCCGGACCCCAGTACTGCCCGCCAGACCCCCTTCCACAGACCTCTGGGCACAGAACTCCCCCCAGCACAAACTCCCCGATACTGGGGCTGACCCTTGGGGGGCCTCAGTGGAGACCTCCAATGTACCTGGTAAGCAGAGGGCCAGAGGGTGTGGGTGAGGGGCTGGAGGACTTCTGGGTCCCCTCCCTCCAGCGCCAAGGGGCAGCACTTTCTGTGTTAAGAGGGCTGCTTGCCCGAAAGGGGTCAGACCAGTGCCTGCCCTTTTTGCCATCCTACCTCCTCTCCCTCTTCCTCCTTGGCCAGCTCTAGGTACCTCGCCCTTTGACCTATTTGCCAAACCTCCAGTATCCACAGAGACCAAGGAGGGGCCGGAGTGTGCCCAGGCCCTGCCCTCGGGGAAGCCCAGCAGTCCTGTGGGTAAGCAGGAGGCAGGGGATGATACAGCTCTGGGGAATGAGGGGCCCGCCCAGAGGTGACCTCCCTCCTCTTCTTCCCACAGAGTGACCATTCCCTCTCCCTACCAATGAGTTCTATCATCTCTGTTCCAGAGCTGGACCTGTTTGGAGACCCCATCCCCAGTTCCAAGCAAAATGGCACCAAGGAGCCAGATGCGTTTGACCTGGGTGTACTGGGGGAAGCGCTAACCCAGCCCAGCAAGGAGGCCCGAACATGCCGGACTCCAGAGTCTTTCCTGGGCCCTTCAGCCTCCTCTTTGGTCAACCTTGATTCATTAGTCAAGGCGCCCCAGGCTGCAAAGACCCGAAACCCCTTCCTGACAGGTAGGACACCCCTTGTCCCCGCCGGGTCTCTTACTCTTCTTCCCTATTTCTGAGACCCCAGATCTTGCCCCCCCCCCCCCCATTTAGGGCTGTGTCCCTTGGCGCGCTCCAAGCCCCCCACCCACTCTCGTTCCGCAGGTCTCAGCGCTCCATCTCCCACCAACCCGTTCGGCGCGGGCGAGCCGGGCAGGCCGACCCTGGACCAGATGCGCACCGGGTCGCCGGCGCTGGGCTTGGCGGCCAGCGGGCCGGTCGGGGCGCCCTTGGGCTCCATGACCTACAGCGCCTCCCTGCCCCTCCCGCTCAGCAGCGTGCCGGCCGGCGTGACCCTCCCCGCCTCGGTCAGCGTCTTCCCGCAGGCGGGCGCCTTCACGCCGCCGCCCGCGAGCCTGCCACAACCGCTGCTGCCCACGTCGGGCTCTGCCGGGCCGCTGCAGCCGCCTCCGCAGGCCGGCACCAACCCCTTCCTCTGAGCGCAGCCCCGCCCCGCCCCGCCCCCGCCGCCCGGCGCATGCGCGCGCGAGGGCCCGCCCCGGCGCGCGGCGGGGCGGGGCGGGCTGTCACCCCAGGACCCGCCCCGGGAAGCCCGGAACGGCTGAGACTCCGCCCCGCGGCCCGCCTCGGCGCTTGTCCCGGCCTCCGCAGCCCCTCCGCGGTTCCTGGAGTTTGAGACTGAGGACTTCCCGGGGCTGAGACCACGCCCGCGTGGTAAAGACTGGAGCCCGCCGCCTCCGCTCCCACCAAGTGGACTTTTTGCGAGGCGTGGCGGCTGGGTCAGGGCCACAGCGTGAATCTCCGGCTGCCGTGGGAACAAGTGACCCGCAGTGTGGGGCGCAGAAATGCTCCCACTTTCCGTACAACCCCCCAGCCTGGCACCTTCGCTTCCAGATGCTCCCCAGGCTCCCACTCATTCTCTCATTTCATTCATTTACCGCAGATCAGCACTGGGGATGATCTCATGGCAGGGAACAATAGGCAGGTGTTCCCATTCGCTGCGCACTCGTTCTCTGCTAAGCACTTTAGACAGATTATTTAATTTAATCCTTACAACGACCCTCTGAGGTAGATCACACTATTCCCACTCATGACTGGCTACATAATTTGTGGGGCCCAGTGCAAAATGAAGAGGCGGGGCCCTTTTTCCAAATTAAGAATTTCAAAATGGGGGCAGCAGAGCGTTAAACCAAGTGCATAACCCTTGGTTCTGCTCTCATAGGTGAGTAAACAGGCTCAGAGAGGTTAAGCGGCATGCTCAAAGTCACAAAGCTATCGCGGACCGGGGCTGGGATTCCGACCGTCTGGCTCCACGTGGAGCCCTGAGCTCCCATGCTGGGCCCCAGGTTTCATTTGCAAATATTGACCTACCGTGAACAAAGTGCCGGGCTCACCTGGGAGGGATCCGAGAATTGCTAAGCCCACCGCCTCCAGGAGCTCAGAACTCAGTGGGGAGACAAGCCAGGTCCTGGAGCCCTCCTGCTCCTTTGTTTTACTGAGTCACCTTAAATCTGGCTCTACCCTCCCCCACCTTCCTTCCCCCTGGGCAAGAAATTCAATCTCAGCCCTGCTGAGAGAGCCTGACTCCTCCTGGGGGCTTATGTCGGGTCTAAGAAACCAAGGGGAGGGGCAGGGCCTGGTACCTCATCCGAGGTCCACCATAGTCACCCCCATTCCTTTTCTCCTCAATGCTCTCCCACCACTGGACCACCCGACACTGATTTGTCCTCAGTGCTCAGGGTCTGGCCCTACTACCAACCCCCACCCCCTTTTGGGTCACTGAGGGAAAACAGCCTTCCATAGACCAGAAACACCAAAGTGTGTGTGTGGGGGGGGGGGACACACGATGCTGCTCTCTTTCTTAAGTGGAAGGGGGACTGGGGAAAGGAGCTGCTTTTTTGTTGTTTTTTGTTTTGGAGGGCGGGAGGGAGTCCTACCGTGGCTGTTACAGGCAGGATGGACAAGAGCACCTACTTAGGAGTCAGACCGACAAAGTTCAAAACTCTGCTCCAAAATTTGCACTTAATAATAATAATCACTTAGTAATAAGTGGTTATGCTCCCTGACCTTGAGTAAATTACTTAACCTCTCTATGACCCTGTGCCTCCATTTCCTTATTTGTCAAATGGGAACAAGAGTTCCTTCCCTATGAGGTTGCTATGTGGCTCCTCCTAGGCCAGTGTTCATTTGGCCCAGGGCCCATCCTCTTCAGAGACACTACCCATGAGCAATGAGCCCATCATACCCCTCATTCCTGGTCTTGCCAGGCAGTGCCCAGAGTCCAGCCCCCATCTGTCTTTGGCCACACACACCTGGGAGGTCTCCATCCTTCTTGGTCGCTGCCTCACCCATCACCCCTCCCCTACCTGGGCCCTCCTCTTCTAAACTGGCTCTCCCTTGTGGACTTGACTTTCCTGAGGATTCCCAAGGGGTGCTGCCTGACCCCCACAAAGAAGAGGTTGGTAGCCTTGCTCCCCGTAACTACTTCTGGACCATTTGCCTCCTCTAAGAGCCTTCCTTCTTGGAGGCTGGAGCCACTTGGCTGTCCTGCCTGCTCTCCACCTGGGGCTGTGCTCCACCTCATTCTCACCATGCTTCTGTCTTGGGTCACAATCTCCTCACCCATTTCTTGCTTAACCCTGCGTGACTCCATTATTCAGGAGGATGACCTTGACCTCTCAGCTACCCTTACCCATGGTCACTCTTTTGGGCTTGTCATCACCCTAAATTCCTTCACATTCAAGGCAGGCTTCCTGCTCTCTGATCTTAATCTCATTCCTTCCAGGGAGCACCCACCAGACCCTCCACCTGCCAACCTTTCTGCCACCACTCTGACCTTCTCAGAGATCTCTTTTCTCCTTGATGTCAATTGCCTTCTCTCAACCAAATCCTTCCCCTTGATATTTGCCATGATTAGCCTCATCCATCTTGAAAGTCTTTCCATCTTTCCCCTCATATGAAGCACCCATGCTACTTCCCTATGTCTCCTTTCTTTCCCCTCCTCCCGACCCACTCCAGTCGGCTTTTGCTGTCAGCCAAGCCCACCCAGTGGCCCATGTTGCTGAAGCCAGTAGGCCTTTTTCTGTCCCATCCCAGTTGGCTTTTCCAGAATCCAACCATGAGGATCCTTCCTCCTTGCAACTCTCTGTCCCGTTGCCTTTGGGACACCACCCTCTCCTGGCGTTCCCTTGACCCTACAGTGGTTCTCTCTGTATCTTCCATGGGGGCACCCCTGAGTTCCCTGAGCCTGCTCCTCTCCTCGTGCTGCTCCCTGGATGGGCCCTTCCAGGCCTGCACTGTCTGCACACTGAACTCCCCGATTCCTCCCACCAACCTCTCGTCTCCACGTTCTCTCCACACATGCATCTCAAGGGCACCTCCAACCAACATGTCCAAAAATGACCTCACGAACCCCCACCTGAGGCTTTCTGTGCCCCCACCTCAGCAAATGGCCTCACCCTCCAGCATAAGCCCTGCTCTGCAAACCAGTCTTGACACCTCCCTCTCCCTCACTGCCAATCCTGAGGATGTCTCCTCTACAGGCCTCAAGACCTTCTCATGACCTCCACCTCCACCATCTCCCCTGGGTCCTGCCAGGGTCTCCGAACCAGTCCTGTTTCCACTCGTGCCCCTTTCCAGTCCATTCTCCACTAGGAAGCCAGAGGGACCTTTCCAATGTGCAGGGTCACTCCCCTGACCAGAGCCCTTCAATATCTTTCTTCGCTCATAACCAAAACTCCTAACTCACAGCTCCTGAGTCCCACCAGGACCTGGAGGCTTGCCCTCCTCCAAACTCACAACGTCATCTCTCCTATCTCTCTTCCCGTTGCTCTCTGCCCTGCAGCCATGCCTGCCTTCCCTAGTTCCTCAGCTCTGACTCACTGCTATGCCACAGGGCCTTTGCACATCGGTTTCTCCTGCTTCCCCAGCACTCCCCCCACACCCTCTCCGGACCCCATCCTCTTGTTGTTCTTCCATGGCTGCTACACAAATGTGATTTCCTCGGGGAAGCTTCTCCTGCCTCGCCTCTCCCACCAGACCAGGCTCCTTTTTATATGAGAAGTCATGGCACTTCTCACAGTGGGTGGTCCTACAGTCATGTGTGTGGCTGTCAGAATTAACTTCTGGCTCCTTCAACAGACTGAGCAACCCAGGGGCAGGAGCCTGGTCTCTCGCCGCCCACCGCTGTACCTAAGCAGAGTGCCTGGCAGGCAGTAGGCACTCAAGAAATATCGGCTGAATGTAGCAAATGAGACAAGTGTGTAAAGTACATGATAGGACACAACGTTGGCTCATCGTTATTATTCAGGGACGCCGTGGGAGTGGGTGGGATTTGCTCAGAACCTTGAGATGGAGCGTATTTGGCCAGGTGGGTCTGGACCAGGTTGGACAAAATGACCTGAGGCTCCGGCATCCCACGGTTCTGACATCCTCCCAACCCTCCATGTTCTTCCCATGAGGGTGATCCTCCCGCGGGCAGCGGAGTCGGCCGATTTTGCGCACAGACGCGCGTCCTCCCAAGCCCGGGCTGCCCGGGCTGCCATCCCACGCTCGGCCAGCAGGCGGCGCGCGGAGACCAGCCTCGCGGCGGCCGGGACTCTCGCCGAAGACCCGCCCGAGGCTCGGGGGCGGGGGGGGTTGCCCTGGCCCGCCCCTCGCAGCCTGCGGGCCTCCCTCCACCCGCCGCAGCGTCCGTCCCGGCCTCGGCCGCTGGCAGCCATGCTGGGCGCACGGGCCTGGCTGGGCCGCGGCCTCCTGCTGCCCCGCGCCGGGTCCGGCTTCGCCGCGAGCCGCAGGTACAGGCGCGTGAGTGGGCTGCTGCGGGACCGGTCGTCACTGCGCTGGTCCGCAGTGCCTGCCTGGCCACCCCTCCTGCCTCCTCCCCACGCCAGTCTGCTTCCGAGACGTGGCCCAGGCAGTAACGGCCTCCCCCCGCCCCCCTCCGTCTCCCCGTCCCTTCCTGCTGCAGGGCTAGCTCCCCGGGGACTCTCCTGACACCACCTCCAGGAAGCCTTCCTTGAACCCCAATGCTGGGCCTAGGGTCCTTATCCAGCGGCACCCTGGAGTGACCTGTTACAGCCCTTTGGCTGCAGGGGCCTGTCATTTAGGTCTGCCCTGCGGCGCCAGCCTCCCAGGCTGAGCCCCGCGAGATCTGAGCCAGTTTCTGACTCCCTGGGCAGCCTGCGGGTCTGGCCTCATGGAAGTGCCCAGGGGTGGATGTTGAGTGAGAAGGTCCCCATTGTCGATTTTCCTCTCGTTGCCCCTCACCCGGTCCAACCCCAGATCCATTCTTTTTTTTTTTTTTTAAAGATTTTATTTATTTATTCATGAGAAACAGAGAGAAACAGAGGGAGAAGCAGGCTCCCAAGGAGCGGGAAGCCCGATGCGGGACTCGATCCCAGGACCCTGGGATCATGACCTGAGCCGAAGGCAGACGCTTAACCATCTGAGCCACCCAGGCGCCCCCCCAGATCCATTCTTGCCCTGTCCAGCCACCAGCAGCAGGCAGCCTCCTGCCCAGATCACCAGCCCAGGCCTGTGGGAGAGATACCTCCAGCACAGCCATCATGGGGAGGGGCCCTGTTGGGGGGGAAAGAATGGAGACTGAAGGGCCATTCTGCCCATTGTGACTCACCCTGACCTCACAGTCATCATCCTTCCCACCGCCAGGTCTGAGAGGTTGGGGGAGACTAACCTGGCAGGGAGCCCCCAATGAGCCACCTTCCTTCACCCCCCCAAAAACACAAGGGGGAGCACAAAGGCCACGGTCTCCCCCGTGGTTCAGACAGGTGGGTTGGGCTGGGAGCAGGAGGTTCCAGGAGAGGGGCCAGAGGGCAGGGTGGGCTAGTATGGGCCTCTGGGGTAGGCCCGGGGAGGGGGGAACCCCTCACTTGACCCACCTGCCCATGCCAGGGGTAGCTCCTCCCGGGACAAGGACCGAAGTGTGACGGTCAGCAGTACAGTGCCCATGCCTGTTGGAGGGAAGGGAAGCCGGACCAGCTGCTCCCCATCCACACTCCAGAAGGTTCCCAACCGCCTGATCAATGAGAAGTCACCATACCTCCTGCAACATGCTTACAACCCTGTGGACTGGTGAGGACCACTCCTGATGCCCTTTCCCCTGTGGGGTGGGGGGGGGCAGCTGGGCTCCCAGCCCCTCCTGTACCCCCCCATCCTGGGGCTAGTGAGTGATGCCCAACCCTGCCGGGCCTAGGTACCCCTGGGGACAGGAAGCCTTTGACAAGGCCAGGAAAGAAAACAAGCCAATTTTCCTTTCAGGTAACGTAGCCACCTTCCCTGGGATGGGAGGAAGGGAGTGGTATTGGATAGGGGAAGCGTCCTGTGGGTCTGGGGCCTCCCAGGAAACCTCCAGCCAGTCACTGGTACCCCTCCCGGCCCACCATGGCCCCATTCCAGTGGGGTACTCCACCTGCCATTGGTGCCACATGATGGAGGAGGAATCCTTCCAGAATGAGGAGATCGGCCGCCTGCTCAGTGAGGACTTCGTCAGCGTGAAGGTTGACCGGGAGGAGCGGCCGGATGTGGACAAGGTGTATATGACCTTCGTGCAAGTAAGCCGTCTTCCCGTGTATCGGGCGGGGGGTTATCCGCGCACAGGGGGCCGCTGCCCTCACCCTCGCCCTCTCTCTGCCAGGCCACCAGCAGTGGTGGGGGCTGGCCCATGAACGTGTGGTTGACTCCCAACCTCCAGCCCTTTGTGGGGGGCACCTATTTTCCCCCTGAGGATGGCTTGACCCGAGTTGGCTTCCGCACGGTGTTGCTGAGGATCCGGGAGCAGGTGGGTGCGCTCCCTGGGGGGGGGAGGTCAAGGGCGAGGGGCCCCCACCGTATGCTGACCTCCGGGTCCACCCCTGCCTCCCACAGTGGAAACAGAACAAGAACACCTTGCTGGAGAACAGCCAGCGTGTCACCACAGCCCTGCTGGCCCGCTCGGAGATCAGCATGGGTGACCGACAGGTGCCTCCCTCCGCTGCCACCATGAACAGCCGCTGCTTCCAGCAGCTGGACGAGGGCTATGATGAGGAGTATGGTGGCTTCGCGGAGGCCCCCAAGTTTCCCACACCGGGTCTGTGCCCCCCCCCCCCCATGCGTGTCCCACCCCCCATCCCAGCCCTCTGATGCCTGTCTGGCCCATCTTTTCTGACCGCTGGCTGGGTCATTAAGCACCTGCTCTCCTGACTGGCCAGTGAGCTCCTTACCCCACCTGCCAGGAGCTCTCTCGTGAAGACCTGACTTCTGGTCTGAGCGGCAACCCCATGACACTGACCTGGGTAATGATGTTCTGTCCTCTGTGTTGACCGTTGACCGCCTGACCTCCAGGGTGTCCCGGGAGACAGCCTGTTGAGTGAACTCCTAACCCCAGCCTGGCCAAAGGCCTCCCGATCACCCAGATCTCTGCCCCCCGTGTCCCCCATGCTCTCACCCAAGTGCTCTTGGTGCCCCCACAGTGATCCTGAACTTCCTGTTCTCCTACTGGCTCAGCCATCGACTAACCCAGGATGGCTCTCGGGCCCAACAGATGGCCTTGCACACCCTGAAAATGATGGCTAACGGGGGCATCCGAGACCATGTGGGACAGGTGAGGGGGATTAGGCATTCCCTGGAGGGGGCAGCCGGAGGCAGGGGGTTGGGACAGAGGCTGGGGTCGGCCTCCAGCCCCATGTCCTGCCTGGCACAGGGTTTCCACCGCTACTCCACGGACCGCCAGTGGCACATCCCCCACTTCGAGAAGATGCTGTACGACCAGGCACAGCTCGCGGTGGCCTATTCACAGGCCTTCCAGGTGACCCCTGAACCCGGCCAGGGCAGACACTTAGCCTGTCCACCTACCTCTGGCTGCCTCTCTAGGGCTTTCTTGGGGACTTGTGCCCCCCCCTTAACTTCACCCCTGATCCCCTCCTATATGCCCAGGCTCCCTCCCCACCCTCCTGGGAGAATGCTGACTGCCCTCTCTGTACCTAGGCCATCCCAGAGGCCTCTGTTTACAGTCTCCTTCCTCCCGTCTCAGATCTCTGGTGACGAGTTCTACTCCGACGTTGCCAAAGGCATCCTGCAGTACGTGGCTCGGAACCTGAGTCATCGGGTGTGTGTCCACTGAGGCAGGCGGGCCTGGCTGCGGGAGGGCTTGGGTCCTCCGCTGCCCTGAAAGTTGGGGCCAGCAAACTCTCCTCTCCTCACAGTCTGGAGGCTTCTATAGCGCAGAGGACGCAGACTCACCCCCAGAGCGGGGCATGCGGCCCAAAGAGGGTGCCTTCTATGTGTGGACGGTCAAAGAGGTCCAGCAGCTCCTTCCTGATTCTGTGCTGGGTGCCACTGAGCCCCTGACCTCGGGCCAGCTCCTCATGAAGCACTACGGGCTCACAGAGGCCGGCAATATCAGCCCCAGTCAGGTGAGGATGCTTGGGGACAAGGGAGGGGTCCTGAGGCCCAGCAAGTGAAGGGACTCCCTCTCACAAAGGGCTGTTTTCCTCAGGACCCCAAGGGGGAGCTGCAGGGCCAGAATGTGCTGACTGTCCGGTATTCACTGGAACTGACCGCTGCCCGCTTTGGCCTGGACGTGGATGCTGTCCGGACCTTGCTCAACACGGGGCTGGAGAAGCTCTTTCAGGCCCGGAAACATCGGCCAAAGCCACACCTGGACAGCAAGATGCTGGCCGCCTGGAACGGTGGGGCGGCCGGGCCTGACGCCTGATCCCGTTTACAGACTTACCCTTCGCGAGGTCCCTTCTATATGTCAGGCACCTGCTAGATATCAGTTCTCCCTTTATCCGGTTTATCATCCCCAATTTACAGATGAGCCAACCGAGGCTTACAGAGCTTAAGTGACCCACCCCAGGTCACGCACAGGGGGCAGAAGCTCTCACCCCATTGTTCCAGAGAGGTGTCAGGGCTTGGGGGGGTTGGCAAGGCGGACATGCCTGGAAGGGCCTGGCTCGCTTCTCACAACCACCAGTGTCTCCTCCCTCTAGGACTGATGGTGTCTGGCTATGCTGTGACTGGGGCCGTCCTGGGCCTGGAGAGGCTGATCACCCATGCCATCAATGGTGCCAAGTTCCTGAAGAGGCATATGTTTGACGTGGCCAGTGGCCGCCTGATGCGGACGTGTTATGCGGGCCCCGGGGGAACCGTAGAGCACAGGTCAGGGGCAGGGCGGCCTCAGAAGGCTTGTCTCCCTGGGCGTCCCGGGCCCATCTCTGCCCCTCTCCCTACCTCCTGGTAGGCTCCAATCCCAGCTCTGTGGTCCGCTCACTGTGAGCTCTTAACTTCCTTGGGCCCGGTTACCCACCCCGGGAAATGGGCTAAGCGCACCCACCGAAGAGTACCAGCAAAGGGTGCTGGCAAAGGGCCTCCTCTGGGAAAGCCGCTCTCTCCCGGGGCCTGCCTCCAGCTCCTTCCCTAACGCCTGTCCCCCCAGCAACCCGCCCTGCTGGGGCTTCCTGGAGGACTACGCCTTCGTAGTGCGGGGCCTTCTGGATCTGTACGAGGCCTCGCAGGAGAGCTCCTGGCTCGAGTGGGCTCTCCGGCTGCAAGACACGCAGGACAGGCTTTTCTGGGACTCCCGAGGTAGCGGCTACTTCTGCAGTGAGGCCGAGCTGGGGGCTGGTCTGCCCCTGCGTCTGAAGGACGGTCAGTGGTGGGCTGGAGCTGACATGGGCCCAGTTAGGGCTTGGTTTTCCCTGGGGGAGGCATAAGTGAAGTGTAATGGTAAAGAGCCAGCATGGGTTCGCATCGCCACCGCTTATAACCAGTTGACTTGGAGTTGGTCTCGTTATATTCCAGATCATCAGTTTCTTAATATGTGAAACAGCGCTGACGTTGGTACGAACTCACAGGGTAGACACAGAGACGAATTTAGCTATTTGGTCGAACAGGCTGGGTAGCAGTAACTGGAGTGCCTGGAGTCACATATCACACAAGGCTATAACCCTCACGAAATACAGTGTAGCAGGGGAAACAGCTAATAAACAGTAGTGACTAGTACAAGAGTGCATGCGTGCAATGTGAGTGCCGTCAAGAGGTAGGCGCCCGGCCCCTTCTGTTTTAGTACGGCTCACCATCACCTGACGCGTCTGGTCCGTTCACGGTCTCTCTCCCCCAACTCAAATGTAAGCATCTCGGGAGCAAGACTTCCTTTTCCTTCCACATTCCCAGAGTCTAGCGTAGGCCCGGCACATAGCAGGTGCTCCGTAAATGTTAGGTGAAGGAATGAAAGGACCTTGAGAGAGGACAACAGCGGGGCCCAACTCAGCTAGGGGGAGGTCCGATCAAACCGGGGACAGGCGTCATTTAGCCAAGAGTTAGGAGGAGCCTGGAGGATGGAGGATGGGGCCGAGGCCAGAGGAGGGGAGGCGCCCACGTGGGCAAAGCTGGATCTCTGCAGGGTCTTACAGGCATGGCAAGGAGTGGAAATCTCTGACGGGTTTTCAGTAGGTTGTGATCTGGTCCAGTTAGGTCTAGGAATTTCATTCTGACTGGAGGTGGACAAGGGACCTTCAAAAGGGAGCAGAAGAAACCGGGTGACCAGTTAGGAGGCTGTTAGTGGCATTCAGTCCCGGCGAGGGCTGGCCACAGACAAGCTAGAAGTATGAGATGGGGAGAAGTGGTGGGATTTAGGTCTACTCTGGCAACAGACCCGGTAGACTCTGGGTGGATTAGAAGTGGGGGAGGGGGGAGGGGCAACGATGGTGGCACTCTGGTTCCAGCAGCTGGGTGGCTGGATTGAGGAGTCCACAGTGAGATGGGGGAGCTGGGGGACCAAAAGTTCACCCTGGGGCAAATGGCTGAGAGAGCAAAAGATCAGCAACTGTTGGTGCTGGCCTTACCATCAGAGCTGGGGCAGGATTGGGCAGAGTGGGGTGGGGGGGACTTTTTTCTATCCCATCCCCATCCCCCACAACTTTAGCCACAGTCCTGGGGCAGGGTCTCGGGACCCAGTGAGCCTCCCTCACCGCTCCTTCCCCCTGCAGACCAGGATGGCGCGGAGCCCAGCGCCAACTCTGTGTCAGCCCACAACCTGCTTCGGCTGCACGGTTTTACGGGGCACAAAGACTGGATGGACAAGTGTGTGTGCCTGTTGACCGCCTTCTCTGAGCGCATGCGCCGTGTCCCCGTGGCTTTGCCCGAGATGGTCCGCGCCCTCTCAGCCCATCAGCAGACCCTCAAGCAGGTGGGGGGGGCGGCGAGGGCACTGGCGCTGGGACCCTGGGTGGGAGGGGATCTGGGGCTGCAGTGGGGGATGGGGACAAGGGGTGGGGCTCCTGGAGCCGTCCCCCGGAGCTCAGGTCTGTGAGTGTGTGGCCGTCTAGGAGTGTATGTGCAGGTGTCTTCATGGGGATGTCCATCTGAGCTGCTCTACGCAGCGGCGGTGTGCATCTGAGGGGCCAGGCCTCTGGCTTGGGCAAGTACCTGTCTGAACACCTGTTACTGGGGCTCTCAGCACAGGGAGGGCGGGAGGCAGGGGCTAGATATGGGTCCCTGGGGCTGGTGAAGTGTTTCTCCATAGGTCTCTGTGTGTCTGTGTAGTTGGGTCGGCCAGTGTGTATGCAGCTATATGCTTACCTGCGTGCAAGTCCCTGTTTGCATTTTTGCTGCGTGTGCACATCTAGATGTGTGTGGCCCTGGAGGCGTGTGACTGTGTGTGTGCGGGTCTGCTGAGCATGTGCTGGTGAGCGTTCACCGGTCTGCATTTGCCTGTCTGCGTGTGCACGCCCCGTGTTCAGGTTGCATCTGCGCGTTTGCCTGCCTATCTCTGTGTGTATGTGTGTGTGTTGTGTGCTGGTGTCTGTGCCTCTGGGTACGTCTCCCTGCCACTGTGTGGGTCACCGTCACTTTGTGTGTTCCTGAGTATGTGTGTCCACGTCCCCACTTGCTGAGCTTGCATCTGAGGCAGTCTCCTGGCAGCTGGTCTGGAGGAGGCTAAGCCAAGTCTGTGTTCCTTCCTGGGGCTATAGTGCGGAGTGGAGGGAGGATGGGGAACCCCTGGGGGGTCTGGTCCAGCTCCCTGCACCTGACCCCGGAGTTACCTTTCTGTTCTGGCCAGATTGTGATCTGCGGAGACCCCCAGGCCAAGGACACCAAGGCTCTGTTGCAGTGTGTCCACTCCATGTACATCCCTAACAAGGTTAGAGTCTGTGAGCCCGGCCCCCACCTCCAACTCCCCTGCCCAGCCCCACCCCCCGCCCCTCTCCACCATCCCCTCCTCTGGAGGCCTGGGAGTAGAAAGCCACCGTGGGCCCCGCCAGCATCCCAGCACCCCCCGCCCTCGGTGACCGTCTACTCTGCTGCTCCCACAGGTGCTGATCCTGGCCAATGGGGACCCGTCCAGCTTCCTGTCCCGCCAGCTGCCCTTCCTCAGTACCCTGCGGCGGCTGGAAGACCGGGCCACGGCCTACGTGTGTGAGGACCAAGCCTGCTCGATACCTGTCACGGAGCCCTGCGACTTACGGAAACTGTTACACCCGTGACTGCCTCGGCCGCCTCCGGCGGGGGCAGGACGCCCAGCTTCCCAGCTGGCCAGAGACCCAGGCCCAGTAGCGCCCTGAGCACGCTGTGGCCATCCTTGGGCACCCTGTCACCGGGTGCCCTTGGCCATCCTTGCCGCTCCCCCCATGGGCACCCACCCACCCTGGAATAAACCTAACAGCGTCCCGCGGGAACCTTGGGGTCTCTGCCTTGCTGGTGGGAGGGGTGCGCCTCTCGATGACCCCTCTGCCTTCTCCAGGCACGCTGCCCCAGTCCGTGGTCATTGCAGCTCAAGTGAAACTCAGGGCAGGGGGCCCGTAATGACCACCAGCTTTCACATAAACCAGTTCAAGGACGGTTCTCTGTCATTTGGAACATCTGTTGGGTTGGAAGTCCTTCTCCAAATCTGAGTCCTTCCTGCTGCAGGGAAAGCTGGTACTTTTCTGTGACCACCTCCTGTCCCTTCGGATGCTCGCAAGTCCTGCCCTTGGCATTCGCATCTTCACAGACCCCAGAAACCCCATCTAGCTTCCACCTCGGGGAAGGCACTGGGAAGTGTGCTTGGGGGAGAGCGAGTGTAGTGGGCTGGGGCTGACTGGCAGGGAACAAGGAGCTGTCTCCCTCCCCACAGCCTTCAGGGGTCTGCTGGGCCTGGGCACCCTCACAGCCCCAGAGCCAAGCAGTACAGACAGCCGGAAGAGGCTGCTAGAGATGAGAGTCGAATGGGGCCACTGCTTGTGGGGATGACAGCAGGGGGGAGGAGTGGGAGATTGGACTGTCACTGTAGGGTCTACACATGGTCACACCCAGCCACACACTTTGACTAGGCAGCTGGGCCCTCGGTGCAAGCCACCGTCCCATCTGGAGGGGATTAGGGCTCCGGCCAACAAGGTCAGGTGGCCCTTTTCTGGCTGGAGCCTGCTCAGCCTCAGGCAGGAAGTCTGAGGCTTGGGCAAGTGGAGCCGGGTCTGGGGGGCAGTGAGCGGGGAGGGGGGAGCTGGTGAAGCACAGGTGGCCTTTTTGGCAGCGTCAGCCCTGGCTCTGGAAAGTCTAGGCAGTTTGCAAAACCCTCTGTCTCCGTCTCACTGACCCTCACGGATGAGGTGACAAGGCAGGTACATCTGGCCACCTATGGACAGATACTCAAGGCCCAGAGAGGGTCAGAGACTGGCCCGAGACCACTCAGCACACCTGGTTCTTTCCACGGTCTTCAGGGGACAATGAAAACCGCTGAGCCGCCTTCTTCCCCCCCCTCCCAGGAGGTATAGGCGCGGCTGTGAAAGGGGGTGCATTTGGTGTCTCCTACCCCTCTCTAGCCAGTCTTCCCTCTGCTGTGTCCTCTTTCCCTTCCCCTGGTACCAGGCATGCACTCGACAAAGGGGTTTTGTAAGTTCAAAGGAAGGAGTTAGGGCCTTAACGGGTTAGGCTTCCGGGAGAGCTAGCATTTTCTGACTAGGGTAAGGCTCAACATCCGGCTTGCTCAGATACGGGCTCTTAGGTCTGCTGCCCCTCTTCCCTTGGCCGGCCCCTCTTGGGTGCACTCTCTGCTCTACCAGCAGGGCTGTCCCAGAGGAGCTGGGGGCCAACGCCAGGGGACACGGGACCTCACAGCTGGAGAAGTCACTTCACTAAGTTCATCTGTCTGAGCCTCAGTCGTCTTATCTAAAAAATGGGACAACCACCACCCAACTCCCAAGGCTGCGAGGTGACAACATGGGATGATGTATCATCGCTGAGCGGAGAGCCTCACAGATGGGAAGATCGTCTCAGTTCCCGAGGGAGCCAGTCAGGCTGTGCGGGAGGTGTAAAGGGGAGAGGGTTGGAGGGCGCTGAAGGGGCTGGCAGAGCAGGTCCTATATGAAGGCTCTCCCTCAAACCCCGAAATCATCTTAGGCCTGACTTCTTTGTTAGGAAACTGAGGCCCAAGGAACTTCCTGTGCCTCATTCTCCTCCCTGCCTGAGGTTACTCATTCGTCTAACAAAGATTTATGAAGTACAGACTACGTGCCAAGCTGGACCGGACTAGGCTCTGGTGAGCAAAATGGACGTAACCCTTGCCCTGAGGGAACAGAGAGCTTAGAGGGGCAGATAATCATTTCGTGACTACACACCTTAACATCAAGTGCTATGAGGGTCCAGATTCTTGTCTGGCTCAGGACAGTGTCCTCAGCATGTTGACACATGGTAGGCACCGCGGTACTTGCTGAAAAAGGGCGCTCTGAGGGGGTGATGGCAGGACCGAGGCTTGGAGGGTGGGAGTTAAAGATGGTTTCACCCCTCCTTTTGCCTTCTCTGTAGGTCCTGCCTCCTTCCTCCCCTTCCCCCCTCAGGCGAAGAGAGCATCTCTGACTGGATGTCAGAGTCTTCCGGTGCCCCCGCCCAGGGATCAGGATACCTTAGGTGGCAGGTCACCCCGGGTCCTGAGGCCAGGGGAGTAAATGTGTGTCTGCCCCACACCCTGCTCCCTCTCTGGGTATGTTCTAGAACAGAGTTCAGCTCAGAGACAGAGGTGGCCTGGATGATGGATGGAGGTGTAGGGCCTGCTGACCACCAGGAAACTTGACCACTGGGCTGGGCGAGCCTTTCTGGGCTCGTTGTCCCCTCTGCAAAGAGGGTATGATTAAAGTCACTATCTCCTGGTGTCAGCCCTGGGGCTTTTTGACCCTGTTGGGGAAGGGCAGCCGGACTAGGCAGACTGCCACCTGCGGGAGGGAGGAAGGTGTCAGACACGTGGAGTGAACCAGAAATAGGCCCCTCTCCCAGAAGACCGCTGAGAGTTCAAGCCTGGCAGGGCACACGCGGAATGAGAGCAGAGACTCCCGCCAGGAGGGAAAGGCACTTAAGGGATCGGCTCATTAGCATGAAATGCAAATGAGCTCGGCCTCATTTGCACAACTCGGTGCCCGGATTCGGCGAAAGGGCAACCCGGGAGGCTGCAGCGGCGTGGCCCTCCCCTCTGCACTCCCTGCAACGCGCCCTCCAGGGAGCTGAGACACCCACCCCAGGCGGCCCGAGGCGCGCGGGGGCTGCGCGGGTGATGCAGCCTTGGAAGTTGGGGAGGGGGGCGGGGGCGGGAGGTCACCCTGCCTCCGCCTCTCCGCAGTGGTGTCGGCGCCCCGAGAGTCTCAGGACAAAGAATTGACTGACCTGCTTGGTTCCGCCGCCGTGTCTACATTCCCAGAGGTGGGAAGCGCTTCCCGACGTCTAATGCTCGATGCCCTCCGCGCCCCACTTTCACTCCAGCGCCCAGCACTCCCGCGGCGCTCTGCTCCCGGGCACCTGCAGCCTGTGGGGCGGCGGTGGGAGAGGGCTGGAGCTGACTGAGCCCGGGGACTCGGGGAGGTGGGGCGCGGCGAGACCCGGCTGTGCACGTGCGTGTGCGCTCACGGAGAGCCGCAGACCCTGGAGGACCGCTCCGGGTAGAGCGGAGGTGTGAGGACAGCCTCCCGGCCATACTGGAACTCCAGAGGGGAAAACTGAGGCACGGAGTGGGGGGAGGGGGGGTTGGTGAGACTTTAAAGCAGGTCAAGACTCAGAAAGCCCAGCTCCGTGCTTCCACCCCCTCTCACACACTCGAGGCCCCCGCAGGTCCCTTCGCGGGAGCCTCTCTCTGCTCCTCAGCTGCTCTGGGGGACCTGGGCCCTGGGACCGGCATGACCTGTCGGAGGCCACGTGTTCAAGCGCGAAGCCCCTGCGGGAGATCCACAGCCTTCAAAGGATCTCTAGGGGCAGAGGGGACGAAGCTCAGGACTGTTGACGTGAGGTCAGGGTCGGTGGGTCAGGGTTAGAAGGTCAGGGTCAAAGTCTCAGAAGTGGACCTGGGAGAGGGGTCTACAAGACCAAGAGGTTGCTGGAAACCACGCCCAGACCTTGCTCGCCCGGGACTTCCCTTCGCTCCGCCCATTTCCCCCAGACCGCCCCCCCTCCAACCTGAAGCCCTACCCCGGGGACATCCTGCTCCGCTCCTCCCCTTCTTCGGTCCTGCTCCCAGGTTCGACTCCAGGGTGGGCGAGTGATCAGGTGGAGACCCAGGATTTCGCTCTGGGATCCTGGTCACACCCCACAGCCCGGCTGCCAGCCTCTCTTCTTCTCCAGGCCCGCCCAGAGCTGAGCCCCACCCTACGGCTGTGGTCCAATTTTAGGGGTCGTGGACAAAGGATGCCCCGGGGACCGCAGCGCTATCCCAGGACCCGGCGCCGAATACTCTGATTCCCCGGGGCTCCCTCCAGGGGAGTCCCAGAGACCCCAGCGGCCAATAGGAAAGTGGGTTCGGTGTGGGTAGCCGTCTAATTGGCTCTGGCCTTCGGGAGCGGACCCAGGGGCAAGGGGAGGGGAGAAGGGCGGTCCTGGGCTTCGGGGTGGAAACCGGATTCCAGCTGTGGTTCTCTCCCCCGGCGGCCCCGCCCGCTCTGCCACGGCGGCCCGCCAATGGGCGCGCGGCTCGGGGCCGGCGGCGCGCGGGGATTGGTCGCGAGGCTGGCTGGGGAGAGGCGGGGCCGAGGCTTGAAGTTCGAGTGAGGGATCCAGCTGTGGTGTGCGCCGGGCTCCTCGCCGCCGCTTTCGCTTGCTCGCTCCGCGTCTCGGCCGGAGGAGGAGGCAGTGGCGCCGGCGACAGCTACGGCAGCGGCAGCCACCGCGGCGGCTGCGGCGGCGGCATCTCCGCCTCCACCCCCGCCCGGGACGGCCCCCCACCGTCTCCCCGCCCCTCCCGGACCGTGAGCCCGCCGCGGGGCGGAGGAAGGAGCCGCCCCCCACCCCCTCCAAACCCACCCCCAAAGAGATCCCTCCTCCCCTCCCCCCGCCGCCGCTGGCGCGGAGCCGGGACGATGCTGACCCCTTAGATCCTGCTCCAGCTGCGCCGCGGGAAGAGGGGGCGCCCCTCCCCCGTATCCCCAGCGCTCTGACCCCCTTCTCTCTCCCCCTCTCCCGGCCGCTTCGCCGAAGGTAGCGCCGAATCGGGCGACCGGAGCCTGGGCGCGAAGCGAAGAAGCCGGAACAAAGTGAGGGGGAGCCGGCCGGCTGGCCCGGGGGGCCCCAGGAGCCCTGGGGAAGAGGGACTCGCGCCGGGCGGGGCTTCCCTGCGACCCGGCGCCCCGCGGGCAGCATGCCCCTGCGGGCAGGGGGAGCTGGGCTGAACTGGCCCTCCCGGGGGCTCAGCCTGCGCCCTAGAGCCCCCCAGATGCGCCCCCGCCGGGGCCCCCCGGTGGCGTGAGGACACCTCCTCTGAGGGGCGCCGCTCACCCCTCTCGAGACCGCCCGGGGCCCCGGCTGGCCAGAGGATGGACGAGGAGGATGGAGCGGGCACCGAGGAGTCAGGACAGCCCCGGAGCTTCATGCGGCTCAACGACCTGTCGGGGGCCGGGGGCCGGCCGGGGCCGGGGTCGGCGGAAAAGGACCCGGGCAGCGCGGACTCCGAGGCGGAGGGGCTGCCGTACCCGGCGCTGGCCCCGGTGGTTTTCTTCTACTTGAGCCAGGACAGCCGCCCGCGGAGCTGGTGTCTCCGCACGGTCTGTAACCCATATCCTCCAGGGCACGACGGCCGGGCTGGGGGGTCCGCAGGGGGGCGGGCCGCGCCGGCGGAGGGGACCGAAAGCCAGGTGAGTCGGAGAAGTGAGCCTCGAAGGTGGGCATATGAGAGGGGGGCTGCTAAGGGAGGGAGGGGGCTTCAGAGTGGGAGCAGAGACGCGAGCAGGTTTGTCTGATACCCCAGACGAGCCCCACCTCGGTACACACACCTCAGTCCTCCTTGGGGGGCTGGGATCCAGGCCAGGAAAAGAGAGGAGACGTGCCCCGCTGGTTTGTAGCTGGATGCTCTCCAGATGTGGGCAGGGGAGGGTCGTCATCCTCCAGATGTGGGAAGCTTCGGGAGCCTGGGAGCTCTACTCCGCCTGCCGCCCGTTAGCGAGCTGGGTTGGGTTTCCGAGTTTGGGGGGGTGGGGTGGGGAGGAAGCTGCGGGGACGGGGGAGGGGGGGCTGCGATCTCCTGGGTTTCCCTCCTGCCCCCGCTCCAAAGTTTGAGGTGGATTCTAGGGTCTGATCCCCACCCTCAACCTGGTCCTTGAGGCTGGGGTTTTTACTGACCCAGAGGGAGATGTTGGGGGGCGGGGACCAGGTCCTAACTCCCCCACCCCCACCCGCGGGTTGGAGGCACAACAAGGAGATTCCGGCGGCGGCTGATGTCAGGGGCGCAGAATGAGAACAAGATGTGGTGGTGAAGGGGAAGCTGTCTGCCCCCAGAGCTGGAGTAGAGACCCTTTCAGCTGGAGCCCACTGCCCGGTGCCTCCCTTCTTCCTAATTCTTCATTCAGCGCCGGGTGCTTTGTGTTGGGGTTGGGGAGTTTTGTGCTAGATTTTTGTCTTGTAGAGGGAAAGACTGTGGCGAGAGCTTTGGTCAGCGGGGGATGGGATTAAGCCGGTCCAAGTTATTACCCTGTCACAAATACAGAGTGCTCCTGCTTCTCGGCAGAGCAGGTATGGGAGACCGCAGCCTCCGAGAAAGTACTGGGGGAACAGTGAAGCTGTGAGCTGGTTGGCTAAGGAAGACTCGGGTCCAGCACCCCAGGGTCTACCCCTTGGCTGGGTTTGTGGAATGCAAGCCCCACATTCCGGGGAGATCCATTTGGCACTGCTCTCTATCCTCCTCCTGGTCTGGAGTGATAAGGGAGACCACAGCCCCCTCAGCCCCCTGGCCTCTCCCCTTCAGCCCCTAGCACAAAGCGCCGCTTAACTAATGCAGGGCTCCCAGGCTCCGGGTGGGTCCCGTCACTGCCGGAAGGAAAGGGGGGGGGGTGCGCTGCCATCCCCAGGCTTGACAGCTTCTCCTGACTCCTTCCTCTCAGCTCAGAGGCTCTTTTGGACCAGGGTGGGAGACCTCAGGTTTCCCTTGTAAACCCTAAGAGCCCAACCAGGACTCTGCTTTGAGGGAGGTGGGGGGAGCTTGGTGCCGCCCTCACTCTCCGCAGCTCTGCTGCGTCTAGTGCGCAAAGCAGGGATGTGAGCTTGGGTCCCCCCAACCCCCACCCTCTGCACCCCACAGATCTTTAGGAAGCTCCCCCCATTACACCCTCTCTCCATCCCTTACCCCTTCTTCCTTTCTCTCTGAGCTGCAGAAAGAGAGAGGTGGGGGGTCTCAGAGGGCTCTGACTCCCCCACTTCCGCACCCCTAGCCCCAGGCCCCTTTCTCCCTGGTTGAGATGGACATGGGGAACTAATGTCTGAGAAGATGGGTTCTGGGCTTCCCTCCTCTCTGCCCCTAACCACCTACCCTCTCCATGAATGGTGAAAAGCCCCATCCCCCTCCCTTCCTCCTCGGGAGTCCAGAAAGATAGAAAGGTAGAAAGATCTTCTCTCACCTTTCCCTCCCCCTCTAGAACAACCAGACCTCTCAGCCAGCATCTCCCCACCTGCCCTATCTCCAGGTGCTAGTGGACAGTCTGGGGGGCAGATTCCTTCCTTGAGGGGCTCTGGGAGGGAGCAAGTGGAGAGGGCTGGAATGAGGAAAGAGAGGTGGGACCCCAGTGCTCCTCTTGAGGATGGAGGAGCAGGCTTACATCTGGGGTGGTGGGAGTCTGGGGTGTGGGGCATTGGCATCACTAGGTCTAAGTCACTAAGCCTGGGTTGGCTGAGGATGGGTTGAGAACAGTTCCTTGGCCAAGGGGCTGCCTAAGCTGTGCCCCACGAATCCCATCACCCCTGAGCATCAAGGGAAACCTGTATTGTCATTGCCAGAGGGGCCCTGAGCTGACTCTTGGACTTCAGTCTTTCCCTTTCTCTCTTTTTGGTATCAGTGAAGCTTCCCATGGCTCCACAAGGTTCTCTGCACCTCTGGGTCTGAGGGACATAGGGACACCTCCCCCAATAACTGAAGCTAGTTGGATTTTTGTTGGCATTTTTCTCAGTCCCTCCTCCTTTAGCCGCTAACACACCAGGTTTCCTAGAGAGGAGATCTAGACCCAGGTAGGAAGTAGTGTGCTTGTGTGGAGGGAGGAGGGGGGGAAGGGAGGGCAGCAAAAGGAAGAGAGGCTCAGAAGTGCATGTGCTGGTACTGGGAAGACCAGGGGTACTCACATCAGTAGGGCCCCCCTCCTCCCCGGTTATAGGGGAGCGAGTTGGACTTTCCAGTATGTGTTTCTTGAAGTGTGAGGGAGCGCTTGGCCCCTCCCAGGAAGGAGATCCTGAGCATTCCCTCTCTGGCTGTTGTGTCACATCTGGAAGTTTGTGTAGGAGTTTCTCCAAGCTCAGAGCCCAGCACAGCTTTTTCTCATTTGGAAATCACAGGCTGGCATTTGGGATGCCGAGAGGGGGAGTGGGAGGGGGGCCAGAGGGGGAGAAGGGAGCCTGCCAGGAGTAGGGGGAGGAGAAGGGGGAGGCCCAAAAGGCAGGAGCCCTAATGGCTTCCAGAAGTGAGTGTGAGCGTGTGACTGCATCACTGTGTGTGCGTCTGGAGGGGAGGGGGCACCAGGAATTTCTGGAGTTTTCCTTGCCACTGTCCCAGTGCCCCAAGTTTGCCTGTTTCTCTTACCTAGGGACAAATCTCCATTTTGGTCCTCAGAGGAAATGGGAGGGGGTGTTCTTCCTGTCTCCTCACCAATTCCCTCCTCTCATTTTAAAACCCAAGACTCTCCAGAGGGGATTCTGGGGAGGGGGGCTGGGGAATTGAACAGGACTGGGGGAGCAGAGCACCTTCTGGCACTCCTTCTGCCCCAGGCCCACCTTCCGGCTGGGTCACACACCCACTCTACCCCGCGGAACTGTTGGGGGGCTCCCCATCACCCATAGTGCCAACTGGAGCCATTCCTGGGATTACCCCCGCCACTCAACACCCCCTCACCTCTCACTCGCTCCCGCCCCAGCCCTCACCCCACCCTGCCTGCCTCAGCCAGGGTGGCGACAGACACAACTGCTCACACGTGTGTGCGCGCGCGCGCACTCACTCACTCACACACACACAGAGTCACAGACGTTTGAATCAGATTTCTGGCCTATTTCCCCTTCCAAAGATTCCAACAGGCCGGCTCTCTTGTGTCTCTGGGTCTCACGTCTCTGTCTCTGGGTGGGGCCGGCTGCCTTTCTTCAGGCTTCAGTTTTCAGTTCAGCTGGAAACCTCTCTCCCCACACGCCCACAGGCTGGAGCGGAGGAGACCACTGGGAAACAGGCTGTGGGAGTGGGGGCTTGGCTGGGGGAATCCCCCTTTCCATCTCCCCAGTGCCGGCCACACTGCTGAGCCCCTATATTCCACCCCACCCCTAGAACGCTGAATCCCCCCGCATAGATGCCAGCCTCTCCGTGGGGTGGGCGAGACAAGGATCTCACCTTCCCAACTCATAGTAGGAGGCCAGGATTCCTGGGTCCAAGCCCATTTCCTCCTCAGTGCTCCTCAGTCTCAGATTTCCAGGCTCCAGTTGGGGAGCGGGGCAGCTGGGTGGCCTGCTTCTGTTCTCAGTCATGCCTGAGCCCCCGTGCCCCTAGAGGTGCCCCAGGCCTCCTCCCTCCTCTCTCCACCTCCCTCTCCCTTACAGCTGCCAGGCTGGGCAAGGGCTCTAGATAAAGCCCCGTGGAGAGGACTCGGTTGTACAGTGAACATGCTCTAGTTCTCTCTCCTGGAGGGAGAAGAGGAGGAGGGATGGAAGTGGGTTTCTTCGCCCTGCCATTTCCTTTTTCTCTGCTTTTGATGGTGGGTTGTGGGGAGAAGAAAGAGCCTCCCCTCTCCTACCCACCTCCCCCTTTGGGATCCACTCCAGCCCGGACAGTTGCCATAGCAACAGTAGACATGTGACTGCACAGGTCTCTCATAGTCACTATGGCAACCAGTGTCCCCCCGTTCCCTTGGTTGCTATGGGGATTTGTCACATGGTTTCCCCCCAACCTGATAACCTGTGGGTCTCCTGCTTTCCCTTCCCTGCATGAGGACAAGACAGCAGTCTGGTGAAGGGGAGTTCATGTGTGAGGGGTCCCTTTAATTGCCATAGCAACAAATCCACACCACCTGGTGACAAATCCTCCTGTTGTTATGGCAACAGAGGAACATCACACGGTGACATAAGGCCATGTTCCCAAGGAAACGAGCCCTACCCTGAGAAGGGTGAAAGACCCCCATCCTCATTAATTATTTCTCAATTCAGATTGTCCCAAATTTCCCTGTGCCTTAGTGTCTTCCCTGTCCGTTGAAGTTTACCTGTAGGGAAAGGGGAAAGGTAGAGAGCGGATAGAACGTACCTGGGAGTGCGCTAAATTGCCAAGGGGGCCCCTTGAGAAGGGGTTTCCGTGGTTAAGAGCTGGAGATGGGGTTTGGAGGCAGAATCTAGCTATAAGAGGCCCCCATGTGAGCACGTAGAAGCTGAGGACAGAAGGAGTCCCGGCTCCTCTGTGGTGTCACTTCTGCCCCTCCCCTCCATAGTTATCAATTGATCACTGTTGGGGCAAACAAGGCAGGAAAACATGAATGGGGAGATACACTGGCTTCTAAGCAGGGAGATTGATGATTGATCAGTTCATTTGTTCGTTCGTTTCCCGCACGTATTGATCATCTGCTGCATGCCAGGCACCACTGTCAGCTTTGTAGGGGATGCGGAGTGTCTCAGAGTGTCCCTGCCTCAGCGAGGGAGATGAGACCAGTGCACACAGATGGCATGACGGAATCACTGCTGTTCGAGGGGTCCAAACAGGTGTTCCGGGAGCCCCTCTTCCCAAGAGAACTACCCACGGTCCCCCTTGCAGCGATATCTGCTCACGTGGGTCCCTTCCCTCCAGAGGAGAGGAGGGGGCTAGCTTGGGAAAGCAGACCAAGCCTTGAGGGTAATTGTGTCCTTCCCTTTCCAGAGAATCACCCCGAGGGATCTCCCTTCCCATCTTCCTTTTTCCAGGGTGACCCCTGGCTGACCCCCCTTCTGGGGAGACATCCACTGGGCTCAGGCTCCACTCTGGAAAATAGCTACATGGAAACAGAGCACTCTCTTTATTTCTCCCTTCCATTTACTTACCCCAAAAACCTAGAACTATTTTTTTTTTTTACTCTTATTCTTGTGAGGAAGAGGCGGAGGCATGGGAAATTGCAGTACCTTGGCCTGTTTGGGTGCCTGTCGGTGGGAAGGGAGGTGAGGGCAAAGGGCCTAGGTGGCAGAGAGGTCTGGGAAGGGATTGAGGGCGTCCTGAGCTGCAGGGTGGCCTGAGGTTCAAGACAGAGATGGGGGAGGGGTGGCTGAGACCAGCTGGGAGGAAAGTCCTGGGGTCCCCAGACAGAGCCTTCTCACTCCAGAAGTGAGGTTGTGACAGGAAGATTCCGCCTGCTCTAGGCCCTCTGCGCCCTGCACCCTGGCTTGGCGGGTCGTGTCATGGGCTGCCGGGACACCCTCCCCACCTTCATCCCTGAGGCCCCTCCTTTGCCCAGTCTCCACTTTCTGCTCCCTTCTGTCCTCTTTGTTCTCCCCACCCCGTATTTTCTTTGAGAAAAAAAGAATGCTAGGTCACTTATCTGTGAGTCCAGCGTCCAGAACCTTCTAAGGTCCAGTGGCCACTTTGTACATTCTCCTGTTGATGGGCTGGAAGTGAGCCCCTTAATAAAATCCGCTACGTGGAAAGACTCGGGGTCCGTGTGTGCAGAGTACTGTCTACTCTGCGTGGGCTGGGGACTCATCTAGCCCAGGGCAGTGGGTCCTCATTATTTAAATGTGGGAGTGTGCCTGGAGGCCATCTGAGGGCTCCGAGAGGCCAGGGGGCGGGTGGGTGGTGGCAGCGTCTGGCCCCGGTACTGGGGTGAAGGAGAGCTACCGCCGTGGACCCTCTTGCCCGCTTCTGCCCGTCCGCCTGGTGCCAGGGCGCCCTGACGGCCCTCCCCTGCGCGCCAGAGCCACTGCAGAAAGAACTGTCCCAGATCAGGAGCTTGGACGCCTCGGTCTCCTCCCGGCTTCTCCCATGACCTTCAGTGCAGCGCTTTGGCTCTCCCGGGCCTCAGTGTGCTTGGGTTCCGGGGAAGAACGTGATCTACCCCAGAGAGCTCGCGGGGCTGTTGTGAGCATCAGATGTGGCATGGCGTGAAAGCGCTTGGTAAGCTGTAAGGCAGGCATAATCCGACTTTAGGTTTGTGTCACACATTCACTACATTCTCTCATTTGCTTCTCACATCTTCCCTGTGAGGTAGGGAGCATAGGATTCAGATTCAGCAGCACGCTCCTGGTGTCTGGCATTTCCGCCGGCACGATTGATTTTATCCCCCAAATGGCTTGTGCAAATTGCCAGGGTATTTGTGCCTTTGCCTACCTTACAGCTGAGGAGGCTGGGCCCGGAGAGGGGTTGGGCCAAGGTGGGCCTGGGCCTGGGCCGGGCTCGCTCAGACACTAGGGCCTGCCCTTTGCACCTGGCCCTGTCTCAGATGGGGGTGGGGGAAGGACAAGAAGCAGGAGGTGCGGGGGGGCGGTGCAGGGGGGCACGGGCATGGCTCCAGCCCTGGCCAGCAGTTTCCTTGACGCCCCCCCCCGGATACCTGGTTTGAGCGCATCAGCATGTTGGTCATCCTTCTCAACTGTGTGACCCTGGGCATGTTCCGGCCATGTGAGGACATCGCCTGTGACTCCCAGCGCTGCCGGATCCTGCAGGTGTGTGTGTGCACATGTGTGTGGGTGTGTGTGTGTGTGTGTGGCGGAGTGTGGGGGTGGGCAGCTCCTGAGCTGAGTAAGTGCAGACACCGTCTCTGGGGGAGGCCCTGACCTCGATGGTGGGGGAGGGAGTGGGGGGGTGTCCTCCCCCCCAGTTTCAAAAGCCTCTCGTCCCCATATCAGGCCTTTGATGACTTCATCTTTGCCTTCTTCGCGGTGGAGATGGTGGTGAAGATGGTGGCCTTGGGCATCTTCGGGAAAAAGTGTTACCTGGGAGACACTTGGAACCGGCTTGACTTCTTCATCGTCATTGCAGGGTGAGTGCAGGGGCTAGAGGTGGGAGAGCAACAACCAGATCAGTGCCCACCCCAGGGCCCAGGGTTCTAGGCCCCAGCACTGCCGCCCCCCCCACCCGCCGCCCCCATGCCCAGCCCACTTCTGGCCATGCTTTCTCCCCGGCTGTCCACTCCGGGTCCGAGGCTGTCCTGCCTGGAACGCTCAAGTCCCTGCATCCACACCATCCTCTGTTCATTCCCCGATGGGGATCTGTCCTTGGCTTGGGGGTGGCCTTGCCCCCAGGGAGCCGGCTCTTCGGGGTCCCTTGGTGGAGGAGGGGGAGGAGTCAGAGGTTTGCTGCCCCACTGCAGCAGGATTCCTCATTGACCTCTTTTGACCCCCACGGCGGCCTCAGACTCAAAGGGCCTCCCTTTGGGCCCCTCCCTGCAGGATGCTGGAGTATTCGCTGGACCTGCAGAACGTCAGCTTCTCAGCTGTCAGAACAGTCCGTGTGCTGCGACCGCTCAGGGCCATTAACCGGGTGCCCAGTGAGTGATCCCTTGGCCCTCAGCCCCTGGACGGAGAGCCCCCAGAGGAAATATGGAAATCCCAGATCCCACCCCTACCACTTGACCACTCACCGGCCTCCTCGGGGCCTGGCAGTCCGAGGCAGACCTCATCACAGAGGGGCTCAGTGGGGAGCCAGGGCCACTGGAGCTAAGTGGAGCCCCCCCCCACCTGCCTGTGGCCCTGTGAGTCACCTGGAAAGACCGTCCCCCTTATTTTAGCCTGATTTGGGGTCAGAGTCTCAGACATGTGTCAGATGACCCCTTCCCTTCAGCTAGAAGACCGCTCCCTGCAGGGGGATAGGGGTGAGTGGGAACAGGGTAGAGAAGCTGGTAGGCCAGGAGGGGTGGGTACAACGTGGAATGGCCTTTTATACCTAGAACAGCCTCTCACGCAGTCGGGCTCTCGTCGGCGAGACCATACTAGCCACACTGAGCATGACTTGTCTCCAGACAAGGCCACTCCATGTCTCACCCTCCACCTGTATCCCCTTCCTCCTTCCTACCCCCTTCCAACCTGCTGCCACAACTGACTGCGGGACCATTATCTAAATTAAACCGCATTGGTTTCCTGAGCCAGCCAAGCTTTGGCAGCTCCAGCTCCCCCTACATCCTGCCCCCCCAACCCTTGCTCAGGCCCCCTTGACAAGTCCCCAAACTACAGAGACTGCAAATGGTCTCCTCTGCAGTCCCGGGAGTTGGGGGAGCCGGGGCATGTTTCTGGGGCTCTGTGCCTGATGTGGCGGCAGCCCCCCGTGCTGTGCGTGCGTGCGTGCGTGTGCGTGTGTGTGTGCGCGTGTGTATGAGATGCAGCTGCCTTTGGGTGGGCAGAGCTGCTCAGTGTGTCCTCCGGGCTTTGGGGCATTAGTGCTAACAGGAGCTGCAGACGAGGGGCATGCATGCTCTCGCCTCCCCTCCCACCCCAGGTGATGGTTGGCAGATTTATAGGCCTCTGTCTAACCACCAGTGTAATTCCCTTAATGCAAACCCCGAGGAATTGATCTCAGTTGGAGCACTGAGGAGCTGAAGGAGGATGGGGCTGGAGGAGGGGGTGAAGGACTGAGTGAGAAGGCCGGGCTGGAAAGCCCAGGCAGGATGGCTGCAGGCACCAGGAGGGTTAATTAGCTGCTGCTTAGACGCTTTTGCCCTGGAGGGGCAGGGGACCGTGAGTGGCACTTCAGACCAGCCATTAGAGGTCTGTGTGTTTAACAAGGGCTTGGTGGCCTGGGGGTGGCTCAGACCATGTGGGGTGATGGGGTCCTGGGCCTGGAGTGAGGAGGGAGGGCAGTATCTCCAACAGGGCTTGGCAGGGCGGGGCTGTGGTGGCTTTCCCTGCAGAGGGACTTGTTAATTGAGAAGATGGACTTATGTCTCCTCGCCCCCAATGTGGGGATCTGCATCAACAGAGAATGGACTCGGCAGGGGGCTCAGAACCATAGTGAAGCTCAGGGCATCTGGACCCTTGCTGAGGGTCTGGCTCTCAAAATGAGATTCCTTCTTTGCTGACATTCCTCCTGGAATTTTCTGCCTCAGTTTCCCCAATGACTGCAATGGTGATATCTGATGACTTAGAAAGGTCAGGTGATTGTGTCGGGTGAGAGAAGGAGGTAGGAAGCGAGTGTGTGTGTGTGTGTGTGTGTGTGTGTGTGTGTGTGTTGGGAGGTGGGATCCAGAAGCAGAATGCTGGGCAGCTCTGTGATACTGGACAAGTCATGTCGGTCCTCTGAGCCTCCTCGATCCTCATCTGTAAACCGAGTTAGGTGGGGTGCAGTGCAGGAGACGGGAGCTTTGGAAACCTTGATCACTCTGGCTCATCCTTGGTGGTACTGTGCGCTGATTAATATGGATGGGCCAAGAGGGATAGTGGGCAGGGGCTAGGGACTGCCAGGCCTGCCTGTGGAGTTAGAGGTGTCTGTTGGTCTCCCCTCCAGCTTGAGCCGGGCGTCTCAGCCCCAGAAACCCCGATGGGCCCCCTCTGGGAGTGCTGCCAGGCCTGTGGCAGCCAGCCTAGCCCGGCCAGCCTGGCACCCCCAGCGTGGCTTCTGCCCCCACAGGCATGCGCATCCTTGTCACGCTGCTGCTGGACACACTGCCCATGCTGGGCAACGTCCTGCTGCTCTGCTTCTTCGTCTTCTTCATCTTCGGCATCGTTGGCGTCCAGCTGTGGGCAGGGCTGCTTCGTAACCGATGCTTCCTGCCGGAGAATTTCAGCCTGTGAGTGTCGCCCAGGATGGCGGTGACCCGGGGGTATTTGTGGGGCTGGGACCCACCTCAGTCCCTGTTGCCGTTGACATGGCTGTTTTCACATCGGTGACATGTCTGGTTCTCAAACTCGGTTGCACACTGGAGTCAACTGGGGAATTAAAAACAAATTCCTGAGGCCTGGGTCCCCTACAGGCTCTGATTTCATCGGCCTGGGGTTCAGCATGGCCTTGGGGAGCTTACAAGCTCCGCCGTGAGCCTGATGTGCAGCCACGTTAGAAAACTATCACCCTGGGACATAACCTTCCCTCGCCCCCACCCTGGAATTTCACACTCGGTCCGCACACTCCTGGTGCCCGCCAACCCACACCCACAAATCCCCGCCCCCGCCCGATGCGTGCCCGACTCTCATCCCTGCCCTGCTCACCCTGCAGGCCTCACTGCACCCATGCAGCTCATCCTTCCTGGGAACTCTCCCCGGAGACCCCTGCTCCCAGCTCCTCCCTGTCCCCCCTGCAGCCCCCTGAGCGTGGACCTGGAGCGCTATTACCAGACGGAGAACGAGGACGAGAACCCCTTCATCTGCTCCCAGCCGCGGGAGAACGGCATGCGCTCGTGCAGGAGCGTGCCCACACTGCGCGGCGAGGGTGGCGGCGGCCCCCCCTGCAGCCTGGACTATGAGGCCTATAACAGCTCCAGCAACACCACCTGCGTCAACTGGAACCAGTACTACACCAACTGCTCCGCAGGGGAGCACAACCCCTTCAAGGGCGCCATCAACTTCGACAACATCGGCTATGCCTGGATTGCCATCTTCCAGGTGGGACAGCCGGGTACTGAGACGTTCCCCAGAACACAAGCGCCAGGACGCAGTCCGGCCTCGGAGAGGTCGTCCTCAGGGCTGGGAGGGGGCCGGGGCCTCTGAGGAGACCGCAGGAGGCTTTAGGAGGCCCCCCCGGGTCAGCCTGTCCCTCTGCACCCTCCCCAGGTCATCACGCTGGAGGGCTGGGTCGACATCATGTACTTTGTGATGGATGCTCATTCCTTCTACAATTTCATCTACTTCATCCTCCTCATCATCGTGAGTGATTCCTTGGGCCCCTGTGGGCAGGGGGATCCCGGGGAAACAGGTGGGGAGAATCCAGAGAGGGACTAGCTTGGTCTCAGGGACAGGTCCCACAGAGACTCAGGCAGAGAGGGCACCAGTCGTGAGGAGTCAGGAGGAAATCCAAGGTCAAGGCTTGGTTCTATCACTTAGTACCTTGGGCAAGTCATTCCCCATGAGCCCTCCAGCCCCACCCCAGGCCTCTGCTTCTTCATCAGTAAAATGGGTGATTCTCAACCCAGGGGGCATTTGGAAACAGCAAAGGGTGGTCCTGTTTTTCACGAGGTCTAGGGGACCACTCCCGGCATTTGGTTGGGGGGCGGGGGAGAGATGGTAAACATCCTGACATGACAGTCCCGCAAACACAGAATTGTGCCACCCAGACTCCCTGGCATTCAGTGTTGAGAAACACTGCACGACCTCTTGTTCCTTCCAGCTCAGAAGCTCCAAGTCTTCACGAGGGCAGAAAACAGAGGCGAGAGAAGCAATGTTTAATAGTTGTCATCCTTACCATTCCTAGTTCATAATTGAACGGCTACTACTTACAGCTAATATTTATTGAGCACTTACGATGCACCAGTCCTGCTCTCAGCACTTTTTATGTGCTGGTGCCTTTAATCCTCACCACGATCGCATCATCATCTCCATTTTACCGAGAGGAAACCCACGTTTCCTCGTTTGTCCGACCCCGTCATGGGCTCCGTGTGTGCTGTGGATTGATCTGGCCGGGCAGGCGTTGTTGTTGATGTGCGCTGTGACATCTTCTGCCTGCTTAGTCCTCACAGTCCCCTGGGCGGTGGGGCAGGCCAGCGGGGAAGTGGCCCCATCTCCTAAAGGAGAACTCTGAGCTTCAGGGGGTCCGGTCACTGGGCTGAGGAAGTGGCCGGGGCCGAGAATTCCAACCCCAGGCTATGGGCTCCAAGTCCAGCCCTTCTCCAGGTCACCAAGAGGCCAGTGACAGAGCCAGAGAGAGGGACAGATATTGAGAGAGAGAGATTAAGACAGAGGTTAAGATCTACTCGGGACCTAGGGCAAACCCCGGAGAGAGGTGGAGACAGACAAAGGCCGCTCTTGGCGAGAGGCAGAGGGTGGGTCCTCGGAAAGAACCAGTCCTCCAGGCCACCCCCTCCTGCCCCTGCATGTGGAAGCGGGTCAGGTTTGGGACCTGTTCCCGTCCCCCACCATCACCTGGGGGGTGGCAAAGTCAGCATCTCTGGGAAGCATGGTCTTTTCAGTATGCTTCTCTCCCTGGGCTTGGAGGAGGGGAAGGAAGCAGACAGGGTGGTAAGGGGCCTAGTTTCCACCCACACACCCCGTGAAAAATCTTCCAAACAGCTCTCTGGAATCATATTAGTGAAGCTAATTATCATAATTACTAGGACACAATCTAGAAAAAAAAATCTGCTTTGTCACCATAAATATTCATTTCCTTCATTCTGGTTTGTTGTCCCAGTGATGGCCATCCGGGAGTTCTGGAGAAACTGAGGCACGGGGACAGGGATGAGGGAGTATGGGCAAGTCAGGGCGGCAGCTTGGCTAGTCTGTAGGGATCGGGGTTCAGCCCATCACCTGGCTTGGGGAGGGGAGAGGTGCAGGGAAAGAAGATACAGAAGGCCAACAATCAGGAGGATAGTGAGGCCCCATGGCTGAGGGTCTCACCCCAGGGCGTGCAGCTAGAAGTGGGACTAAATGCAGAGGTCTTGGGAACAGTGTTTTTGCCAAGACCTCGAAGGCTCAACCCAACGTGAGAACCCCATGTCCCCAAGATTGCACTCATCTCTACAGCCTTCTCTGCTCCTAACGGGAACTGGATAGGGGTGCTCAGAATCTCCATGGCTGGCCATGGTCAGGGGCAGGGAATTTGGGAGAAATCCTTGCAGGATACCATCGCGATCAATAACAATGCCTTGGAATTCCATAGAGCTTGGTTCAAGTCTCAGCTTTGTGTGTGTTAGCTGAATGATCTTGGGCAAATGCCTTGACCTCTCTGAGCCCGTTTCCTCACCTGTCAGACAGAGGTTATAAAAGTATCACCTCTTGAGACTGTCACGAGGATAAAATGAGATCATGCTTGGACAGTAACAGCCCAGCGCCTGGCGTGTAGGACGTGCTTGGGATGCGGTGACTCGCCTTGCGGTTCCCTTTTCTTCAGGACATCTCCTCTTGCTCTCCCCACCCCAACAGGTGGGCTCCTTCTTCATGATCAACCTGTGCCTGGTGGTGATCGCCACGCAGTTCTCAGAGACCAAGCAGCGAGAAAGCCAGCTGATGCGGGAGCAGCGCGTGCGGTTCCTGTCCAATGCGAGCACCCTGGCCAGTTTCTCCGAGCCAGGCAGCTGCTACGAGGAGCTGCTCAAGTACCTGGTGTACATCCTCCGGAAGGCGGCCCGCAGGCTGGCCCAGGTCTCCCGGGCAGTAGGCGTGCGGGCCGGGCTGCTGAGCAGCCCAGTGCCCCGTGCAGGCCAGGAGCCCCAGCCCGGCGGGAGCTGCTCTCGCTCCCACCGCCGTCCATCCGTCCACCACCTGGTGCATCATCACCACCATCACCACCACCACTACCACCTGGGCAATGGGACACTGCGGCCCCCCCGGGCCAGCCCGGAGATTCAGGACCGGGATGCCAGTGGGTCCCGCCGGCTCATGCTGCCACCGCCCTCGACGCCCGCCCTCTCCGGGGGCCCTCCGGGGGGCGCAGAGTCTGTGCACAGCTTCTACCATGCCGACTGCCACCTGGAGCCAGTCCGCTGCCAGGCACCCCCTCCCAGGTCACCATCTGAGGCATCGGGCAGGACTGTGGGCAGCGGGAAGGTGTACCCCACTGTGCACACCAGCCCTCCCCCAGAGATGCTGAAGGAGAAAGCACTAGTGGAGGTGGCCCCCACCTCTGGACCCCCCACGCTCACCAGCCTCAACATCCCGCCCGGGCCCTACAGCTCCATGCACAAGCTGCTGGAGACACAGAGCACAGGTGAGAACTCTGGGGAGGGGGGGCATGCTGGGGCCCTGGCCTAGGGGCCAGGTGGTATCCCAGAGAGGACGGGGGGCCCCTGATTCCCATGCTGCCACTCGAGGCCTTGGGACCTTCAATCAGTCCCGCCGCTTCTTTGAGCCCTGAGTTTCTCATCCCTTCAAGTGGGAATCTTAATTCTTGTGTTGTAATGAGAATAATAACTATCGTGGGATGAGCACCTGCTATATGCTCTGCTCTATGCTGTTTGCAAGAAGACCTAACAGTTGTTGACCAACTATTCTGTGCCTGTCGCGTGCTTTGCAGGCGGAATCCCATTGGATCCTCTCAACAGTTTAGATGATAAGCTTTCTTGCCGTCCCCGTTGTACCGGCGAGAAAAAGGAGGCCTGGAGAGGTTGCTTGACTTGCCGGCTCAAGGTTGTGCCCCTGGTTAGGTGTGACCTCAGGGCCATCTGGCTCTGAGGCCCCGAGGGGAAATGGTGTGTGACCATGGCCAGCCTCGCGCCCCACACTAAGGAGACTCTTGTGAACATGAGTTTCATTGGCTCCCCACGGGGAGACTGGGGGCCTAGAGCAGCAAGTCCTCAGGGGGCTGCTAGTTTGGTGGAAGGAACACCCGGTGTCACAGGGGAAGTGAGACACTCGCTGCCTGTGGGTGTCCTCCCTACCCCCCGTCAGACAAGGGCGGCGAGCCCTCCCCCGAAGACAGACTCACTGTAGCCGAAGCCCAGGGTTTCAGGAAGGATGTGGCACGTGGGAGCAGTGGGATATGTGTAGGATGTCATGTGGGAACGTGGGCCGGGACAGGAAGGTGCCGTCACAGAACACCCTGGGAAGGGCTCCCGCGCCCGCTTTCTGGCCACCCTGCCGTGGAATGGAAGCCAGTCATACACATGCATGTTTCAGTCCCCTCCTGTGTAGAAGGCAGGGCTGGGGCCGTGGTCATTGCCGGCGAGCCCTCCCGTTGCGGTCAGAAGGAGAAACCTTGTTGGGTGCTTCCTGGGGCCCGGGCCCTGAGCAAGATGCCTGCACCTCACCCGACGTGCTTTCCCGGGAGCTCTCCGAGCTTCCCTCCAGTGCTCAGACTCTAGGATCCAAGCCAGATTTCAATGGCCGTGGTGTCTTGGGCTAGGTCACTGCGTGCATGAGTGTGTGCGGCCTGGTGTGTGCACGAAGGTGTCCAGGGTGTGTCCGGGTGCACGTGCACGCACATGGTTCGTGTTCATGTGTGTATGTGCACACATGTGTCTGATCTGTGCAGCTGCGTGTGTGTGCACGCTGGGGTGGTGCTCTGGTCCGTACGCATGCCCACGTGTGCCCAGGCCTGGCACATGTGCATTATATAACGTGCACGTGTCTGTGCGCACGCGTGTTTGGCTGTGGAGGTCTGAGCGGTTTGCAAATGGTACGTATATGTGCGTAGTACATGTGTGCGTGCGAGTGTGTGTTCACGGCACGTGTGTATGTGCCTGGGTGTGGATGTACATGAGCACACATCTGTGCGTGTGTGTCTTAAGGATCCCTTGGGAAATGCTCCTCACAGCAGCGATGGTGCGGGGCTGGCTTTCCTGGGAAGGAGAGCTGGTCTAGGCTCCTTGCTAAGGGCTCCTCGGGCAGGGGAGCTGCCCAGGACCTCAGGGGACATCAAGGCCACCTGCCAAACCCTAGGACCCCTGGCAGTGACTGTCAGTGGAACGCTATTGGCATTTGGGGCCATTCTGTTGCTCGGGACTGCCCATGCTGCAGGGCATTCAGTGCCCCTGGCCTGCTAAGTGCCTCATACCCCGTCATTGAAAGAAACCCACACTCCCCTACTCATTTTATAGATACTTTGAGGGAAGGGCCGCCCCAAGTAAGAAACCTTGCAGCCTCTAACCTCTCCCCTCCTGTCCTAGGCACCTGCCAAAGCTCTTGCAAGATCTCCAGCCCTTGCCTGAAGGCAGAGAGTGGAGCCCGTGGCCCAGACAGCTGCCCTTACTGCGCCCGGGCAGGGGTAGGGCAGGGGGAGCTCGCCGGCCATGAGATGCCTGACTCAGACAGCGAGGCGGTGTATGAGCTCACACAAGACGCCCAGCACGGTGATCCCCGGGACCCCCACAACCGGCACCGACGGAGCCTGGGGCTAGAAGTGGAGCCCAACTCCGTGCTGGCTTTCTGGAGACTGATCTGTGACACTTTCCGGAAGATTGTGGACAGCAAGTACTTTGGCCGGGGAATCATGATTGCTATCCTGGTCAACACGCTCAGCATGGGCATCGAGTACCACGAACAGGTAGGGGCGTGTGCAAGGGCACAGTCCCTGGGGCTGGGGACCCTCTGCCTTCTTGCCCTCCCACCCCCGTTTCCAGTTTCTTCTGCATGCCACTAGCCTGATGGCAGCGAGGAGGACAGGAGGGAGACGCAACAATGTGTGGGGACTCTGGAGGGTGAAAACCAGTGAGTGTCACTCAGTCTCTGTGTATGGAGCTTGCCCAAGGCAGGCGCAGGATCTGAGCTGGGTGTGTTCTATCTGGGAAGGCTTCTCAGAGGAGGTGGGCTTTGAAGGATGAGTGAGTGGTGAGCATCAGGCATGGATAGGGCCTTTCTGGAGGGACAAGTCATTGGAAGAGATTCGGGTCTTTGGAGAAGACACAGAGGGGAGAGAAGGTGTTGGGGGATCCCCCCAGCCCAGCACTGGGCCCCCCCAGCCTTTACCTGACTCGGTAATTGGAGGTGTGGCTGACTGGAGGGGGGTAGGAGCGAGGAGGAGAGGGTTGGTGGCTGCGCCTGGGTGGAGCTGAGGCCTGTCCGGTAGGGAGGGAGGCCATCTGCTCCCAGCCTCCATTCCGGGAGCCTTGCTGTGAGTGGGGCGGCTGGGTGGATGAGAACGCCCAGCATGGTGAAGAGACTTGAGACCATCGCGTTTGAGGAATCGTTCTAAGAACTGGGATGTTTAGTCAGGAGAAGAGGAGGCTCAGCGGGGACAGGCGAGCTGTCTTCAAATATTTGAAGGGCTGTCATGTGGAAGAGGGAGCAGGCTTGTTGTGTGGGGCCAAAGGCTGCAAGCAATGGGATCTGGGCTGAGTGGGAGGAGGCTGTCCTCACTCCTGGAGCTGTCTGAGGACACGAAGGGTGGCCTGGGGACCCCACTGCCCCCAGTCCCCCAGACTGATTGGGGGTGAGAGCAGGCCCCATGGGGCCTCCCAACAGGGTTCCTTCCAGAAGGTAGCCGCTTGCCCCGGTTTGGTCTTCTAGGTCACCCCCTTGGCTGATTCTTGGAAAAGCGGGGAGGGGGTGTAGTCAGGAGGTGCTGCCACCACAGACCGTTCTGTGTTCTTTCCTGGGGGTTCCTGCCTCCCTAAGGCTCAGGCAGGGGACCGGGCTGCCAGAACCTGACCTCTCCTGGTAGAGAGCTGAGCTGATGCACTTCCCCAGCCCCTGGTGGGACAGTGATGCGGAGGAGCTGGGGGGAAGGGGCTGGCCATAGCAGCAAGGTGGTCCTCGTCGGGGGGGGGGGGGGGGAAGGGTCTGGGGCGAGGCTGGGGAGCATAGTTCCAAGCCAGGCCTGGAACTGATGTGAGATGTTCACTTTTCAGGGGGATCAGAGCCCCCTCCCCCACCCCGCTGACCTCTGTGCCTTTCATGTCGTGCGCACTCCGCTGCCCTGTCCAGCCAGATGCACCCCAGCCCCGGCCCCTCTTCCGTCACCATCACCCCATGTTAGCACACCTTCCTCTCGCCTCAACGCCCTCCCCCACCAGGTGACTCTGCCCTATTCCCTCTTCTTGGAGCTGAGGCGCAGGGAGGGGGCAGGACAGCAGCTGCGGGCCCGCAGGTGGGGAGTATGGCACTGCGGTGAGCGTGTTGGGTCTGGGCGCCTGGGGCGTGGGCGTGTGTGCCTCCTGGGGAGAGGTGCTCCACTCTGCCAGGCTGGTGGGGGCAGCCTGCTCCGCTGCGGGGACCCAGGCGGTGGCAGCTCTAACCTCCCATCACCCTGAACATGAGCCTCCTCTCCCTCGGCCTGTTCTGGCCCAGGTCAGATGCCCCTCCCCCTGGAGGGGCTGCACCCCGCAATCTGCCCTGGCGGAGGCTGCTGGTGGAGGCTTCGGCTGTGCTGGGAAGAAGCTGAGTCACAGAGACTGAGGGCCGCTGAGGCGGCAGCAAGAAGCCTTTCAGTTAGACGTCAAGAAGGACACCCCCTTGGGGAGGAAGTAAAGGGGATCTGTCAGGGCTGCCTGCAGCGTCCCCTGGCCCAAGTTCCTGAGGAAAGCAGGGGACACCGGCCACCAAACCCTCAGCAGCAGGGAGTCCCCACTCCGTGGTGCTACGGTGTCTGCTCCAGGGGGGAGTTTGTCCCAGTCCCTGGTGGCTGCAGGCCCCGCAGGGCTGAGTGGGAGTCCCCAGCAGGCCGGCAAGTGACTGACTGCCGCCCGGCAGCCTCAGGGGCCAGGGGTGCTAAGAAGTCCCAGAAGCAGCCGTGGCCCTGTGCTCGCAGGCACTGCGGCGTGAACGTCCTGCCATCTGCGCCTTGGAATCTGAGCAGGCTGAGGGGGGCAGGCCGGGGAGTGCGGAGATGCGGGAGATGCGGGCGCTGAGACACAGAGACACAGAGGGGGAGACGGAGGCGCAGAGGGAGAGGGAGACCAGGAGACGGGGTCCCAGAGGGCGAGGCGAGGACCTTGAGAGAGGCGGGCATAAAGACAGGAGGACAGAGATGCAGGGACAGGAGGGACAGAGATAGGGCGGGGGAGATGGAGACAGATGGAGGCATAGAGATGGAGGGGTGACAGAGAGATGTGGAAAGGGAGCTGAAGACAGAGAATGAGACCCAGATGCAGATGAGGACATGCGGGGCAGGGCTGGGGACACAGGCTTGGATGGGGCCTCCCAGACAGGGGAGGGGGAGCCAGGGGAGGAAGAGAGCTCGGGGAGACCTGAGGGAGAGCGGCCCGTCATGCCGACAGGTGAGGAGTTGTCCCCACAGCGCCCTGAACGAGGAGATGGTATCCATCGATCCTGGTGCTGTGTCCTTCCCAGCAAGGAGCCCAGCCCTCTTTCCTGCCCCCTGCTGCTGCCCTACCAGGCCTGTCCTCTTCCACTGTCACCTACCTTACCCCTCAGTTTCCCTGCCGGGGATGGTGACACCCCTCCTGCTCCTCTCTACCAGCAGAGGAAGCCCCCATCTTGTCGTACCCCGCCCTACCCCAGGTAGGTCCCATGCTGTCCACACCCCTTAACCCACTGGCTGGTGAGAACTGGCAGGACTGTTCCTCCCAGAAAGACTAATGAGGAGGACAAGGACAGGACACTGAGGAGGGAGCAAACCTGAGGATGTGTGACTTGAGGACGGAGGTGTGATCTGATGGAGGGCAAGCACATGTGTGCCCCCCATCCGTGAAGGGGCAGAACATGGAGCAAGGAACCTACTGTAATTTAGCCATCCCTCTCTCTCTCTCACCTTCCGTCCATCCATCCATCCATCATCCATTCATCCCACACACATTTCCTGCACATCAGAGTTGGGGGAAAACATCCTGATTTGTAGTGTTTATAGTGTTTGCCAATTACCATGGTGTAAACGCTGTCGTCAAGCTAGCAACGTGATGTCACTGAATGTGCAGTTGGGAAGAGACAAGTGCACACACCTGGCCTAGGACACTGTGCTCTTCCTTTCAGAGAGGTCACCAACAAGTGGACGGTAACATTTACTTGATGCGGTAGGCCCTCAGAGAGGGATGTGCGGAGTAGTCCGGGATCCAGCCTGTGGGGAAGGGATTCCAGGAGAGCCTCACGCAGGACGTGATCTGGGAGTTGAGTCTGAAGGAAGAGTGAGGTGTAGCTAGGGAAGGGTGGGGTGGAGGGCACAATATGGGGGAGGGTCAAAGGCACCAACCACCGGACACCAAAACTGAGAGATTTGTAAGGAGTTCCGAATGAGTGGGGCACTGGGTGGGGGCTGGGATGGACAAATAAGAGACCAGTTTGGAAAAAAATTCAGGGCCAGGTCCTGAGAGGCACAGGAAGGAGTGTGGATTTTTTCCCGAAGGCGATAGGTTCCCCAAAGAGGTTTTAAGCAGGTCAGTGATACGAGCAGGTTTGTGTTCTATCAAAAGTCCTCTGGAGCCAAGGAGGGGAGGCGGGAAGCAGGGAGGCCAACAGGAGGGTTGCTGCAGTGGTCCGGACAGCTCCCACATCTCTGTCCCTGGAAGTGGAGGGAAGAGGGCCGGGGAGAGCTGCCAGGTGGCTGGATCTGCAGGACTCCACACCAGTTGGAGATGTGGGGGAAGGAAGCAACAAGGACAAGACCAGGTTCCTGCTTGGGGTGGGAGCACTGGGCCTTGAGCAGATTGGGGCTGCAGTATGTTTGAGACAGGGCACCCGTGGGTCATCCCGGGCCATAGCTAGCCGGTTGCTGGAGCTCAGAAGAGAGGCTGCCTCTGCCCGGGTCTGCCCTGGGGCCAGGTAGCTCCAGGAGGAAAGGGATTGCGGGGAGAGGGTCCTGGGGACACTTCCTAATCACCCCCTTCCTGGCTCTGGGGTGCTGAGGACACCGGGTCTGCCCTGGGGCCAGGTAGCTCCAGGAGGAAAGGGATTGCGGGGAGAGGGTCCTGGGGACACTTCCTAATCACCCCCTTCCTGGCTCTGGGGTGCTGAGGACAGAGGCTAACTTCATCTTCTAGAAGAGAGACAACAGAGAGAGGTGGAGGAGGGGCATGTGGCCCAGCGGTCTTCTGGGCTGCTGATGAGAGAGAGGCAGGGTCCCGAGTGGACTCCTGCTCAGGCCAGCAGAGGACAGGGCAGGTGATGATTCTGCTCGTTGCTCAGACTCTGGACCCATCCTGTCACTCTAGATACATGTCCAGGGAGGGTTTCTATTTATAAGTGAGTGAGGTCAGCTGTTCAAGGCGGGGGAGGCTGGGGGTGGAGTGGGGTGGGGGGTGGGGGAGAATCCAGATGTGGCAGGTCTTACCTTTAAGGGCCCTCACAGACTCCTTTGGGATCCTGCTGAAAACTGGGGGCTCTCTCCCCAGAAAACACACACAGGAACGGACATCCCACATGCGGCCTTTGAGGACAAGGGTTTATGGACACCTCCCGCCCCAAGCCTATCTCCTGGGCCTTCCAGGAGTTCTTGTTCTCCAGACAGAGGAGCCCTGGCTCAGGCACTGATGCTGTGGCCAAGCAGGACATTGGGGGAGGATCCTTCCAGAGCTGCCCTGGCCCCAGATTTCCAAAGTGTCTGCAGATGTCGGGGGGGAAATGGGTGCTGATTTGGAGCTGACTGGCTAACGG